CTATTTTCCTTAGAAAGGCAGAGAGAAAAATGATAACACATCTCAATCCTGTGACTTTTGTGAAATGTCAAGATTTACCGCTTTTCAATGTACAAATTACTGTTTTCCTCTCCTTGCTTTATAGAAGCCATGGAGATTGGAAACACTTCTTCTCTGAACATACTTGTTAGGAAAGAGATATGTGCAAATTAGAATTCTTAGTATACAAATGAGTCTTCAAAAAAATTTCTATGAAACAATGAGTCTGATTATTTGCTAGGTCATTTAAAAAGTAAGGTAATAAAATTTAAAGAGTCTAGATAATCCTTTTTATTAGTTATGAGGGCTATCTGTTATATGAAATAGACCCTGAACATTTGAAACTGATGAAAGAGGAAGCTTTTCTTGCTTGTGGGACCAATCTACAGTACTCCAGGCCCTGAGCAGGAGGATGGGTATTGGGAGAGAGGATAGGGTGGCTGTGCCCCTCATAATCATTCAGAGACCTAGGGTACTAGAAGCTCTGCCATCTTCAACACTTGTCTTCCAAGATTATGGGTGAGAGACAGAAGAAGAATCAGAAGAGATGTATAGAGACAAGTAGGAAGAATAAGCAGCAGAATGACAGTAAAGTATAGGAAAATCAGAAGTGAGACAAACCAGAACTGCCCATCATAGGTAAATTTTTCTGAGTCTGTGGTGATAGCACTGAAATAAAATTAACCTCTACAGGTGAAGGTGAGATGCCTCTGACAGTCACTCCAGGGTGGCCTCAGGTGGGCATAGTCCTACTCCTAAGTTCTTAGACTTCCCAGGTCATCCCTGGGAACCAGTTTTGTTTTGTGATTTGCTTTTGTGTTGGCTCTTTGGGCATCTATTAAGACCTCCACAGGATTTCATTTTTCTGTTCAGAGGTTAGTAGGGATGACTCTATGGAAGTCAATAGGGAAAATCCCCAGAAAGCCTCAAACTTGGCACTGAGAAGTGCTCCAGTAAGGAAGATGCCAAATGTCCATCAATAGGCATTGGAAATCAGAAATACTGTCTCCTGGTTAATTGAAAACTATTCTTCTAAGATTAGGAACAAGACAAGGGTAGTCACGCTTACCACTCCTATTCAACCTAGTCCTACCCTGAGCAATCAGGCAAGAAAAAGAAATAAAGGCATCCAAATCAGAAAGGAAGAAGTAAAATTGCATCTGTTTTCAGATGTCATGATCTTACACATAGACAATTCTGAAAACTCCACCAAAAATATGTTAGAACTAATAAATGAATTCAGTAAACTTGCAGGATACAAAATCAAAATACAAAAATCAGTTGCATGTCTATACACTAACAATGAAATACATGAAAAAGAAATAAAGAAAACAAGCCCACTCACAATAGCATCAAAACAATAAAATACTTAGGAATAAATTTAACCAAGGAAGTGAAAGATCTGTATACTGAAAACAGTAATACTTTGCTAAAAGAAATTGTAGAAGACACAAACAAATGGAAAGATAAGTGTGCATGGATTGGATGATGAATTAATATTGTTAAAATATCCATACTACCAAAAGCCATCTATAGATCCAATCCAACCAAAATTCCAATGCAATTTTTCACACAAATAGAAAAGAAAAATCCTAAAATTTGTATGGAACTATAAAAGGCCATGAACAGCCAAAGCAGTCCCAAGAAAGAACAAAGCTGGAAGCATCACCCTTCTTGTTTTTAAACTATACTACAAATCTATAGTAATCAAAACAGCATGGTACTGGCATAAAAATAGACACATAGACCGATGGAACAGAACTGAAAGCCCAGAAAGAAACCCTCACATATACAGTCAACTAATATTTTATAGGACATCCAGGAATACTCAATGGGGAAATGATAATTCTTTAATAAATGGTGTTGAGAAAACTGGATAACCACATGAAGAATGAAAGTGGACCCCTATCTTATATTACTCACAAAAATTAACTTTAAGTGGATTAAAGACTTAAATGTAAGACCTGAAACTAGATGACTCTTAGAAGAAAATATAGGGAAAATGCTCTTTGACATTGGCTTGGCAATGAGTTTTTGGATATGACACATAAAACACAAGCAACAAAGCAAAAATAAATAAATACGAATATACAAACTAAAAAACTTCTGCAAAGAAAAAAAATGTTTACAAACTATAAATTAGATAAGGGGTTACTATCCAAAATACATCAGGAACTTACAACTTAATAGCAAAAACATAAAAAAATACAAAACAATCTGATTAAAAAATGAATATGAACTGAATAGACATTTTTCCAAAGAAGACATCCAAATGGCCAACAGGTTTATGAAAAGGTGCTCAACATCACTAATCATCAGGGAAATGCAAATCAAAACCACAGTGAGGTATCATCTCACATATGTTAGAATGACTATTAATAGAAAAGACAAGAAATAACAAGTGTTGGTGAGAATGTGGAGAAAAGAGAACCCTTGTGCATGATTGGTGAGAATATATATTCTTCATAGTGCAGCCACATGGAAAATAGTACATAAGTTCCTCAAAAAATAGAAAGAACTACCATATGGTCCAGCAATCCTACTTTTGGGTATATATCTAAAAGAAAGAAAATCACTATCTTGAAAAGATGTCTGCACCCCCATATTCATTGCAGCATTAGTCACAGTAGCCAAGATATAAAAACATCCTAGTGTTTGAATGGATAAAGGAAATGTGGTATAATATACAATGGAATATTATTCAGCCATAACAAAGAAGGAATTCCTGCCATTCGTGACACCATGGGTGGACTTTAAGGGCAATATGCTAAGTGAAATAAGTCAAAGACAAATAATCTATTATCTCACTTATATGTGGAATCTTAAAAAAAAAAGCCTCATAGAAACAGAATAGAATGATGGTTGCCAGGGGCTGGGGGATGGGAGAAATAGGGAGATGTGAGCCAAAGGATACAAACTTCCAGCTATAAATGAATATATCTGAGGACCTAATACGCAGCAGGGTGACTATAGTTAACAACACTGTATTACATACTTGAAAATTGCTAACAGAGTAGATCCTAAATATTCTCATTTCACACACACAGACAAATTTATAATTATGTGACATAAGGGATGTGTTAACTAATCTTACTGTGGCAATCATTTTGCAATATGTACAATAAAAAATAATCTATTGTTATGTTCATGATGGCCCTTTGGATCTCTTTTTATCGTTGTCACCTTGAACCCTCTGTACAATGCCTGTGAATGAGCTGCCATTCCCCTTCTCCAACTACACAGGCACTCGGGCAAAAGGCTTCAGTCCCCTTGGGGGAAAGACTGAGGATCATTTGTCATATGTTCCTGTGGCATGTAGTCTTTCAGTGATTACGAGATTGAATGTAAAAACTGGATGAGTAATCTCAATTTCCTTTTGTGGTGGTGGACACCAACTTTCTTTCTTCTTGGAACACTGTGGTTGAGTTGCCATAAATCCCTATGAATTAAGGCGCCCCAATTGCCCCTCTGCCTTTGTTGCCCATTATTGTGATTATGTCCACCTTGCCTCTGCTGGTTATGTGGTACTAACTGGCATTTCCCTTCTGAAATACTCTCATTCCCTTTTATAACAGGACTTTCCATTACCTGGCACCACCACCTACTGTCAGCTCCAGTTTACAAAGGACAAGCAACAGGGAGGCTCCCCGAAATGTCAGCCCCCCCGCAGTGCTCTTATTGCTTTAGTAAAGGGAATGTCCTCCTGGCTTATATATGCCATGTTTTCTGGTCTCATGTAATATACCCATTTTAACATTCCTACCCCACTGAACCTTCTGACTCCTTCTCCAGTACTATGCCCAGGCAGCTGGGGCATGTCCACCTTATTTACTAATGCTACGCATTTGTCCAAGCTTCTGGGAGCCAACACAGTCATCGATAGGACAGTTACAGGTGCCCTTGCCTGTATGTTACACCTTGATACAGAGCCACGAGTTCCATGTCAGTGAGGTCTCCATGATCCAATCTTATATTCTGCCCCTCCTGGTTCTACACACTAAACATCCACTCCTACAAGTGTTTTTCTGTTGTTTCCAATATGTATTAGCCAGGTCTTGCTAGGTTAGGCTGTGGCAATAAACAGCCCTCAAATTCCAATGGCTTACACAACAAAGTTTACTCCTTGCTTACTGGAGGCCCACAGTGGATCTGGGTGCCCTTCTGGGGTGGTAGGGAATTCATGTACCAGGCTGTGTCAATCTTTAGGTTCTGTCATCTCAAAACAAGGACTCCGCAATCACTGTGGCAGGAGAGAGGGTGCATGGAGAAGTGTCACTGCTCTTCTATGAAGCAGCTTGCAAATGTATGATAGCCTCTGGAAGATAAGGTGGGAGTGGGAAATGGCCTCATAAGCTGCTTCTCACAAGCCTCCCCTGCTCCTGTGTTCTGGGAGGATCAGAGGGCATTCTGCCAACTTGTATCAGGTCAGTTGCAGTTGCCTATGTGGAGATGTGCAAGGTCACTAGGATGCGGTGGCAGAGAGCCATTCCCCAGGACAGCCAAGAATTGTCAGAGGCTTTAGTGCCCAAGTGAAGAGTAAATCCATCAGCTGTACCAGTTATGATCCTGTGAATTGGAAACTAGAAATGCTATGTGTCCATTGCAGGCTTCCTGACGCCACTGGGCATGCGGCAAAAAGGAAGCTATCCGGTATTCAGTCAGGTCATCAGTGACCAAAATGTATAGTAACAGTAGCTTTCTATAGCAAGCAGTAATCAGTAATAAAATATATTGGGAAAAAGGTCACTTTCAAAATCACACACACACAAAAATTAAACACCTGAGTGTAAAAAAAAAAAAAAAACCAAACCAAACAAAAAACCAAGAAATGAATAAGTCCTGTGTAGGGAGAAGAGAATACTTAAGAACCTAATAAAAGTTTCAGATAAACAGAAGCGCATAATATGATCCTTTACAGAAAGATCCAAAATTTTCTACTAAATTGGAGTGTACATTTCACTTCAAATCATTCAAAGGAGAACTTGACAAGACAGGTTTAAATTTTATTTTAAAAAATCAAAGAGCAGGAATGGCAACAAAAGATTTCGGAAAAGAAGTGGGAGGTGCTGTTTGCACAGCAACGGGCAGGAGGGTCCGTGTGACCACAGGCACTTATCGGGCGGCGGCTGGGGCTCTGAAGGGGACCAGACACGGGCCTCGCTAGGGAAGGCTGGGCTTGCACGGAGGGCTATCTTTGCTTCTTTCCTGAATTGCAAAAATGTTTCTGAAATTATTCTCAAATTCTACCTCCAGCTGACGTCCCAGCATGACGAATTTGCTTTTATTCTGAAAAAGCAAAGAGAAAAACAAGAATAGCCATTGTCCGTGAATTGAGATTCCCAGTGTTTCAGATCATCTGGAATTCATCTTAGACTATCCCAAATGTTAAGTGAGAATTAGTCCGGTTAAAAGTGGCTTATGTTCCCTGATAGCTTTATCGTTTCTCTTTTTCTAGAAGACAGAGAAGCAAAAATAGTGTTATACCGCAGTCTAATTCTTTGTCAGGAACTTATTAATTTAAAAAATTTTAGTTATTTGATGTTCAAACACAGCACATACCTGAAACACTATGAGTACAGAAATATCAATGACAAACTCATGGGTGTCCATTTTTTCCTTCATTCTCTCCCCTTGAAAGTTCTAATTCTTGTTAACTTTGGATATACCACTAGGAAGTATGGATGTAAAGAAATTCAAGACTTCGAAATTCGAGAGACTTGATTTGGTATGTTCCCTTAGGGCAGAGGAACACTAGTTGCCTTTAAAATGCCCTTCTAGCCAGTGAGAGGCCTGGGAGGTCTAGCTACTAGAGGCGTCCATGAGCATCTTCCCCACAAGCACCGAGGCCATAAGGGTTCTGCCTGTAAGAAACTTTCCATGCTTTCCATCGAGAGCAGTCCTAGGAGCAGCTGGAAGCAGGCAGATGCCCGCCTGGGTGTGAGGGGGAGGGCCCTGTCCACACATTCCTGAGGGCCTGGATGCCAGAGGGCAGGGGCACTGTGGCAGCCTGCATGGAAACGTGCCCTGTGCCTCAGAACCTGTCCCCCAGGGGGTGTTCCTGGAGTCTAAACTAAGGATAGGAGCCCAGGCCAAAGGCAGGGACCTCTGGGGCACATACTGTGCTGCCCGAGTCCAGGAGAAAAGCATGCGCTTCCATTTCTTGTGGAAGGAATCAGGCCTGCCACCTACTGTTGTCTGTGGGTGGAAATGAGCTGCCTAGAAGTGAGTGAGCTCTGACGTCCTGCGGTGATGTTTGTAATGACGCTGTCCAGTGTGTTATTGTTTTCTCCACAGTAGACCTCAGGGGTTTTAGGATATTTCCAGAATTTTTACTCGTGGGGGTTTGGCACATGATGTGGGAAATTGTAACATTTACCTCGTCTGAGAAGATGAAGGGCAAAGGGACTTAACTGGAGGAAGCAGGGATGCAGGGTGAGCCACTTACCCTGTAAAGTGTCCTGTGGTTCTGGAAGATGAGGCGCATGTCCCTCACAAAGTCCTGCACTTGGGGGTACAGCTTCTTCTTCAGCTTTTCCTTAATTTTGTTCAACCACATGGGCCTCTTTGGGCCCTGAGATGTTGCTCTCCTCTGTTGACAAGAGCGCCGAAGGGCAGGCTATTAGCATGGTTCCCGTCTACTTGTTCAGACACCCACTGTTATGGGCTGAAGGTTAGTGTCCTCTCTAAATTCATCTGGTGGACACCTAACCTGCAATGTGATGGTATTAGGAGGTGGAGGCTCTCGAGATACTTAGATCATGAGGGTGGAGCCCTCAGGGAGGGGGGTCCCTGCCATTTAAAGAGAGACCCCAGAGAGCTCTCCCGGATTCCTGCATGTGAGGATATGGAGAAGTTGGCAGTTGGCAGCCTGGAAGAGGGCTCTCCCTAGACCCGACCATACTGGCTCTCTGATCCTGGACTTGCAGCCTCCAAGACTGTGAGAAATAACTTTCTGTTGAAGCCACCCAGTCTTTCGTACTTTGTGAGAGCAGCTGGAACTAAGGGCTGACTAAGCCACCCATCAACAGGCAGAGCTAATGGCAGCCTGTACCTACTGGATTCAAAGTTGACAAATGACGCTCCTAAGCTTTGTTGCTGTTACTTACATAACGTGGTTTAGCAAAAAAAGGGCTTTTTGAAGAGCTGTAGACCTTCAAGAGGAGGAATTCACATTTCTGCAAAAGATTGAAGAGATTTTAAATGAAAAGCAGCTTGGGGAAAATGAGCTGTTATGTGTGCTCAAACAGAATGCAATGCTGTAGTCCTGTGCCCCGTGAAACATGCATGGGGTGGGAATTTTCTTTGGAATATGAATTTTAATGTTAGGTCATGTGATCAAAGTATAGCAAGGGAGAGCAATTGGCCTTTGGACGCAGTTCCTCCAGCCCCTGTAAGATCGTGCTTCTCTCATGTCAACCCACAGAAGGAAGCTTCGGGTTTACATTTCAACTCACCAACTGCTCCTCATACAGCATCTGCCTCTTCAGGACGTCTGATTCCTGATGACATGCTTGGTTTTCTGGGCACTTTTTCTGAATGGCCTCTATCCTGCAATAGACGCAACTCCAAGGGTTGCTGGAAGGTCAGGCATAAGGTCAGCAAAGGAAGGTTCTCTGTGAATCAGCCACCGTTTCTACAGCTGCTAAAGTCCTCTGTTCAGGAGTGACTGGGGGCTTCCACCTCTTATCCACCTTCTCTTGACTGGACGCCCCTCTGCCCTACAGCCCCATTTGGGCTCAAATGCCAGACATCCCTCCCATCAGTAGCAGTAGCAGGACGGGCAGTCTGTTGAGTGAGGTGCCACATAGGTGATGGACTTCCATTCATCTTAAAGCTTAAGGTTCTCATCTAAGCCACTGTGGGCTTGATAATGAGCCTTGCATATCAGAAATGAGGGTTGAAAAGTAATAACATAAGCACCGGCTGGAGTCTTGGGCTTTGATGAACCATCAGACCATAGTAAAAATCAGGAAACCAGTTCTTATTTCTTAACTTTGCTGAGTAAGCACAGAGAACAAGTTATAGGCACCCTCTCCTCTGGCATTGCCATATCTATATATAGAATTCTTTATATGAAGAACATAACATCAGGTATCTTCCATTTGCTCCTAGATTCATTCTTCACTCTTCTCTACCAGGTTCTTGTGCTGGGGGCTCTCAGTCATCAGATGGGTGCAATGATCCAGCCCAGAGATGTCATTCAGCCTCTCTCCTCGGTCACCCAGAGTTTGCTCAAGGTGCCCATTGTAAGGTGTCCCTGGTGCAGGGATGGGGACTAACCACGGGCTCAACAGGAGCACAGATCCGTCTTCTGCCTCTCAAATTCCCCTGCTTCAGAGGTTTACCTTGAAACCACTGGAGCCACCTGGGAGCAGGTGGGTCATGTTACATTCCTCCTGTTACAGAGGAGCAGGGCTCTGTCCTCAGAGGGACAGACACAATCCTGGTAGAGACCAGCCTCCTTGGCCACAGCAGTTCTGCTCCCCACACCCCACTCACAGAATGCCTTATCAATCTCTGTGTTCTCTCTCAGATAGCACCTCTGACCAAAGGTACACTTTATAGCAAAGGAAATGCAGCAGTGAGCTCATGCCCACAGAATTCATTGCCTTGTTGTGTATACCTATGACCCAGGGCTCACTGACTCGATAGACTGCTGTGATAGCCTTCTGAGGGCTCACCACAGTCCTAGCTTTTTTAGCCTTGTCATGTTCCCATAGCAGGTAGAATATGCTTTAAGCCAGCAGCTCACATATGGTGTCATCAGCCTGTCAGAGTCTGTGGGTCTGGGAACGAAGTGGAGAGGTGGGGCTTATACTTCGTTCTATCACACCTAATAACCACTTGAGTTTCTGCTTCCCATTAACCTACTACTGCCAGCACCACTAAACAGCTCTAGATCACATTCTGGATCCTGATACTTAAGGATGCTGCTCCTTCTGCATCAAGGCACATTCAACCAGACACAGATTTTGCAGGCTGACTGTGTACGGTAGGAGGAGTTGTACCACAGGAAGAAAGGGGAAGAGGGGGCTGGTCTCACTAACCTGTGAACATCTATAGCCCGGATGTGGCATTCCTTATGAAAAGATCTTGAACAAGTATCACAGCAGAACAACAGTCCAGTTCCACGGCACACCTTACATAAATTTGAATTTTGGGGCTAGAAGGGGAGATAATGTACACATCACTGGGATCAGCAAGACCCTGGAAGGCTGACCCATTGGTCTAGAACACACAGCCTTTGCTGGTACCAAGGGGACACATAAATTTCTCTCCTCAAAATATTAAACAAAGACAAATGCTGGGCATAAAAGCCACAGGGCATAAATCTGCAAAGAAGTAAAAAGCTAACCTTTTCAAACAATAAGGCTTCTCTCTCACTTACCAACTTTACATTTCCCTGTATGGCCCCGGAAGATGACTGGTTAGCCAGAGACGGGTAAGATTCCTCAAGGGAGGAACAACCTAAGACAGGCACAGTCATGGGGGGGCCATCAGGTGAGAAATTGGGGATCAACAGAAGTGAGGCTTAGAAACTCACCCCCCCTGTTTTGAGAGAAATCTTCTGCATCCGTGGATGTTTTGTTGCCCTTGTCTAGCTTGGATTAATACTTAGTCTACAGGCACACACCTGATCATCTACATTTGCTTTCTTACAACACTAAACTATGTTTTCTACCTTTATCTTGCATCTACCTACCACTTCAGCATTTTATTAAAAATAAAAATAATAATAATAATAAAGGGAGAAATGTGGGATCAACATATAAATCAAGTACAAAAATCAAACGAATATTCATATTTGACCTGATTGTTTATAGGTCATATTGCATGATCAAAACCGAAAGTTTCTGTGATGACTGCCCTTGTACTGTTCACCATGTAAGAACTTATTCACTATGTAAGAATTTGTTCACCATGTAAGAACTTGTTTGTTATCCTTCAGAAGATCGGAGACTGATGAGAATTAGGCATGGGGTGGATTAATGATTGTGCATTGAGTCCCTTATACAGAATTTTATTGTTGTTAACAACCATTTGATCAATAAATATGAGAGATGCCCTCTAAAAAAAAATAAATAAATAATAAATAAATAAATAAATAAATTTTAAACAACATGGAGTAGAGATTGCAGAAGAAGACATTCTCATCTGCAGCAAAGTTCAGAAGAAAGTGGCTGTGTGTCAGACTACTGAAGTTTTCTTTATGTCAGTGTTCTGACACAGAAAGGCTAGCAATGAAAAAAGAATGAATAAAACATAACCTAAGAAATTTATTATTCTGCTGGCAAAATCTGGCTCAGGAATATGGTGCTGTCTAGTTGTCTACATTGCTTCACTTAAATTGACTCATTGAGGAGCAGTTTACTGAGAATTTGATATGATGGCATAAACAGATATCACTGCACCTCTTTTTGGCTGTAAGTTCCCCATGAGTTGAAGGGCCTGGGGAAAAGTTCCTGAACTATGGATTCTTTGTCTGGAGGGCCCCATGGCCTGTGACAGGGTCTCTGGGTTGGAAAGATCAAGCACACGGATGACCAGGTGGACACCAGAGAGGACAGAGTTCTTTGGCTCTGGGAGCCTGGGGAAAGATGCCCTATGACTTAGCTTGGCATGTAAGGCATGGAGGTACCATCTCTGAATAACCAAGAAGTGCGGTTACAGCAAACACTGGGGTTGAAGGTTGAGGCCCCTTATCCTCATTTTCTGAGCCCGTGGAAGACCTGGGGCTTTGCTCTATATAAGGAAGGGGAGGGGCCCACAGAACTGACTGATGCTGGACTTTTCATCAATCTCAGTATGTAGGACCTTCAACCATATTTAATTTCATTTAATGAAGTTATAAATGTGACCGTGTTTGCATCTAAGTATTGTGGAGTAACAAGCACATGTGAAAAACAATAGAATTTATAGACCAAAGTAAGAATTAGTTAAGGAATGAGTCCATTGGGGGATAAGGAAAATCACACTTCTCCTCTTTTTCTTTGGTGATAATCTATGTGGCAATAACATGTGAATCCCTACATACCATCATTTCTTTGTATGAGGGCTGTGTGTGTCTGTGCTGGAGAAATGCCCAGAAGGATGGGCACTTGACTCGACTCCCGGGACAACCTGAGCTGAAAGAGAGCCTCTGAGGAGCTTTGCTTCCCCTGCTCATTTTTGAGGAGAAACAAAGAAATAGGAAATTTCCCTGAGCAAAAGGAAAGGATCTTTCATGCGGACACCCAGCCCCAGAGCCGTCGACCTGGCTGTTCTCTTATCACACGCAGCGACGTGCTCCAGCTGAGAGAGAGCGTGCTTCAGGAAAACACAGCAGTGACACAGATAATGTACTGAGGGAAAAGGCCTGGGTCATTTGGGGTTACGGGTGGAGGGAGTACTTACATAAGGGTCAACTAAGGTATTGTTGCGAGGTTCTGGTGTTCTCTGTAGAAAAGAAAGACTGAGTGACAATATTGAATGTGGTTTTTCATTGATCACACATCTGAGCAGACTTCTTTCTGTAAAGGATTCATGCCACAGCCCTCCCTTTGTTTCAAATGTGCTTTTTTAGGTCTGGATGTCTAATTGCAGAATAAAGAAGCAGGAAGTTGTTTTGTCAGTGACAGTTTGGCCCAATGCAAGCCCCATTCCCTAGATCGCAGACCTGAGGCAGGCCTTTGTGAAGCCACAGGGAGTCAGGCTCTGGACTCCACAGCTGGAGCTGCAGCTGCTACGAGAGCACCAGGCTGAGGACTGAACACCCACAGCTCCCGGCCACCACAGGGCTCAGAGCCCTGGATCCACGCAAGTGTCCCAGAGGAGACCTCCACCGCTGTCTGCAGCTTGCTTAGGGCACAGCCCCGCAGATCAGATGGGCCCAAGGCAGCTCTCCTCCCCAAAGCTAAGCCCCTCTCCACTTTACCCTGAGTCCCAGGGGCTTGCGTTAATCTTGGGCATCTGTGGGTTGACTTGGCTTCCTTCCAGTTTGGAAAAATGAGCATCTCAGTTTTTCCCTCTTACCCAGGGCAGAGAGGCCAGAGACAAGCCACCCAGTGTGATCCAAAGCCCAGCCATCTGGGAGGTGGCCAGGGCCTGTCTCTGAGTGGCTGAGAACCTCCCCCACCCCCTGACCCAGTACTTATTCTCCCATGTCAGATAATGAAGTTGAAGCAACCCTTTTAGTCTGTTGTTTTGGCATCCTTGTGCCACTGGCCAAGCACACCACCTGGCACTTAGTAGTTGCTCCACAGTTGTTTGTTGAATGAATACATATGTGCACAAAAAAGAACACGGTTGTCACTCGGGAGATGAGATGTGTTCAGCAGCCAGTGTGTGATCAGCTTGGAGTTTCATATCTTGGGTCTTGGAGCCCCTCAGCTATCGCCAGTGGGTTTAACGGGAAACTTATGAGCAGGGAAGCTGCCAACAGAACCACCTGCCGCTTGGCACTGACAGTGACACAAGGGAAAGAAGCGAAGAGGCCAGACAAGGAAAAGACCCTCTGGGAACTGAGCTGCAAGCCCAGAGGGCACCAAGAGAGGCCATGTGTGATGCAGGGGTAGGAGACAGCCAACTCCATGGTTAGCGCAGACGGAGTGCCCTAGGCCCCCAAGGACCAGGCAGACATGCTTACTCTTAATGAGCAGGACAAATACTGTCTCTTTCTCCAGAAAACCCACAGGATTGTGGAACCTAGTCACTGAATCTCTAGCACAAAGTTAGTGGAGCAGGAAGCCCCAGAAATGAGCTTGGCAAAGACATGACTTACTGGTGTGGTGGAGAGGGCAGAGGTCACTGCTGTCAGAGGTTAGCAAAATAGAAGTTCTTCACCATATGGGTTTTTTCTCACACCCAGTCTTGGAGAGGCCTTGGAGGCCACCTACCTCCTGCCTTCCCTGGAATCCACATTGCATGGAAACTCCTGGCCCATGACCCCACACACTACTTTGAAGGAAAGAAACTCTCCCCTCACAGATGGCACTGAGGTCTGCAAAGTCCTCCTGGTGGGGCCACAGGGCCTCCACAAATTTGCCGGGTCAGCAGCCTCTCCCACAGGGCACATCTGCCTCCCAACCACTCCTTTCTCTAGGGTGTCATCTCCACAAAGGAAATACACTTTCCTGGGGGAAGAAGGACTCAGTGTGAGTGCGTGTGTGAGTGGGGAGGCGAGGGAAGATATAAAAGGGAGAGAATGTGATTTTGGTTGTCGGCCTCACCAGCTGACATACTGCTATGTATCCAATCCAACAGGGAATTCTCCTCTGTTAGACCAGCTGGAGTGACCATGGGACATTTCTGGGGAAATTTGCCACATTCCCATTTCATTAAAGCTAGAACTGAAAAAAAGCAATGACCAGAACAGTCCGTGTTGCAAAGGCGATAAATCATGCCTTTCAAAATCCTGCTTTGCCAACTCCAGTACCCTCTTCAATGTTTAATTTTAAGACAGGATGGCATTCACATATTTTTCTAAACCAAACATGCCAGTTCTGTCTCATTTCCTATTTTTAAGGATTATTCCCACCCATCTCAAATGTTTTCATGCTCCAAGAAGTCCTGGCCTCACATACTGCAATGTTTGAAAGTGTCAAGTGCAAAAGCATCATGTTATAAAATCAAGTATCATCACAATTGGTTAATTTGGAAACTATAAAAAGGCCAGAGAGATGGGAGATCGACAAGAGGAGAGGTAAGACATTGGTGGAAGGTCATGTGATAATCACCTTTTTTCTTTTTCTTGATGGGTTTGGTAGAAATTCTTTCTGAAAGAGAAATGAGATTAATGTTGAGATTGGTTCTTGTTTGCACTTTGTGAGCTTGGTACTTGCAGCTGTCTGCCGGGTAAGCTGTATTGTCAACACAAATTCAAGGTGTCTTCCTGGAACATAACCTTCCTCTCCAAACAGGTTGCTCTCTGCTCTCCCGACTCAGCTTGAAAAACCGTGCCTTGTCCCTTGCTCTCCTTAGAAAGTCTTGCCATATTTTCCTTGCCAACCTCCTACACCCACCTCTTCCTTTCCTCTCCCCCCAGTACTTCTCTGGCTTGTGTCTTCATACCTCATGAACCACAGCTACTCCACTGGCACACCCCTGGTGAGTGACTGACAGGTGTCAGGCCCCATTAGCGGCCGTGGGCACACAAAGGTGTCCAGGCCTTGGGGGAATCTTAAAAGAGGGAAAGCGGGCATGTCATGGGTAAGGATGATGACGTGTAAACGGTGCTCTCAGAGCATTTTGGGATCTAGAGGTGCGTGAGGATGGTAGGCTGAATAATGGCCCCCCAGAGAAGTTCAGACTTGGGAATATGTAAACTTAGGTGGTAAAAGGGGCTTTACAGATGTAAATTAAGGACCTTGAAGTTCTGATTATCTGGGTGGGCCCAGTGGAATCACAGGAGTCCTTCTAAGAGGGAAGCAGGAAAGTCAGGGTAAGTAGTAAGAGATGTGATGCTGGAACAAGAGGTTGGAGGGATGCGAGGAAGGGGCCGTGAGCCATGGGAGACAAGGGCTTCTGGGAGCAGGAAAAGGCAAGGAACAGAGTCCCTCTGGAAGAGCCCAAAGGTCTGCCCTGCTGACACCTTGACCTGAGCCCAGTGACACTGATTTCAGACTTCTGGCCTCCAGCCTGTAAGAGGTCAGATTTGTAATGTTTGAAACCACTAAGTCTGTGCCAAGTTGTTCCAGCAGCAACAGGAGTCAAATGCAGCGAGTTTTGGAGGACTTCAGAGTGTGTTGTTCGAGCCAGACCTCGCAGGTTGAGTGGGGTCATGAGCCCCTAAAGTAACCCCTTGAGTGGAATGTTAGTACCAACATTTGCACTGTGATCTGGGCAAGGGGGCTCATGATGGTTTTCTGGACTCTGAGAAATCTGCTAATGCCTGAATTTGGTGAACTGTGACCTTACACCCTTGATTCAGACCCTTTGTCATTAGATACCTCAATAAGGACCTTCAGGGGCCATCCGCCACAGCGCAGGCTCAGCTTCCAGTTCTTGGATGATGCGTAGTTCCCTTCGATTTCGAATTCCCTGAGGGTGAACCACCTTCCGTCCTCAGTCTGTATGCACTTGTCCAAGACACCTGTGAGACCAGGACAAGCTGAGCTCCCTGTGTCTCCAGGGAGTGCCCTCAACTGTGAAAACCCCAGGACTCAGCCCCCCACCACTGGATCTGGGCCACCCACTTGGGCTCAGAATCAACAGCAGGAGAGCTGACTTTCCTCTCGGGGGCCCCACTGCGGCCTGAAAGGTGAGGGTGGGGGAGACTTCCTGCCTTGTGTGCACATTTCTTTGACTTTCATACAATGAGAAGAACAGTCATTACCAACATTTACTTTTAAAAAGTTCTTCACTATATTCAAAAGGGGAAAAAAATGAATGACTCTGAAGACTAACAAGCAGGATTCTTTCCCTTCTCTGAGACCCGATAGAGTCAGGCTGGGTTCAGACGGGGCAGATGAGGGCACACTGGTGGCCACATGGTGTCTGTCACCACAGTACATCTGTCTCGTCTGGCTCAACAGCTAATCATCCCGCTAACAGCCATCAATTATTTCTCATATTTTGGACTCATGGCTATTTTATGTTAAGAGTGATTATAGAACTATTATCAAGTGGGAAAAGTTAAATGATACATCTGCAATATAATCCTAGGACAAACATTTATACTTGTTGATGCCCAAAGAACTAGACTGTGTGTGTGCTTGGGAGGATTGATCATGACAGATTTGTACTGTACTTCAACAATTATGATTTGCAAAGTATTTTGTATCTATCTCATATTACTTTTAATATTTATTATACTATATCTTTTTTTTTCTTATAATAATACGGTGAGGAAGCTTTTATTATTATTCTGATTTTGTAGAGAAGGAAGTTCAGGATGAGAGAGACTGAGTAACTTGGCCCAAATGAAAGAGATGTTTTTGGTCAAGCTGAAACATGAATTCAGGTCTGGCTCTAAATTGTGTGCTCCTTCCAGTTAGTGTAAAGCTGTACAGAATTATAAGGACTGGGGCTCTAAATGCCATTGGATTTCTCGAATGTGTACAGTCTCTACCCTTCTCGAAGGTAGATGTTGAAGCACTTGCTCTTGTGTTGGGTGCTGGGCGGGCATCCTTTTCCTTGGTGGAAAGAGAAGGCTTGTAAGTTAATGTTTATTAATTTAAGAATGTGAAAATGCCATCTTTCCCCTCTCCCATGTGGGATGCTGTGCAGGAAAGACCCAATGGAGCAGATTTATGGCTGCTATCTTTCAAAAGATCTAAACTTCTGGTATGTGTGAGGAAGAAGGGGCTTGCATAACTAATCCTGATAAAACCCCTGGAATCCTAGGCTCCGGGCAGCTCCCCAAAAGACAGCCTTTCACATGTGTTGTCATAACTCATTGCTGGAGAATTAAATGCCTCTTGTGTGACTCCACTGGGAGAGGATTCTTGGAAGCTGGCTTCTGGTTTCCTTTGTATGTTGTCCCATTGCTGATTTTGCTTTGCATCCTTTCGATTTTAATAAATAAATCATAGCCAAGAGTTCACTATATGCTGAGTCCTATGAATATTTGTAATGAATCACCAGACCTGGGGCTGATCTTGGAGATCCCCGGCCCAGGTATCTACCCGTGAACAATGTATTACTCACATGGGCATTTTCTAGTTGAAAAGCGTAGAAGACCGTGAGACTCACCTTGTTTCATTTTCTCCTTATGTAAAATCCCCTTCACTTTGCCGCAGGTCACAGGAAGCTCAGGAAGTCTAAAATCCATATTTTTATCTCTGGGAATTCTTGGAACTGCAAGGGAGCATTATTTTTCTCATTCCATTCTCCTCTACAACTGTGCACCGTCCCCTCACCCATCTTGAGACCCTTCTTTTGTGACTTAAAGTGTATTGGAAGGATCCCCCCATGAGTAAGTCACATTTCTAAGTCCTTCCTTATGGCAGACTAGATACATGAAGATAATGACATTCTCCAAAATCACATGTAAAAGCCTTGTGTCAAAGGGTCTGAATTCCCAAGCTTTTTGGTCACAACTACTTAGTACACAGTGATTTTCCTCTGGCTGTTCTGAGGGAAATTTCTAGTCATATTACTACTTTGAAGTCATGTAAGTGGGGAAAAAAATCTTCAATTTTAGTTTTGCCCTCCAGTTTGGGGCATCAACTGAGAAACAAAGCAGGTCTGCAGCGGGGCCCAAGCAGGGCCAGTCTACCCTCTCTCCTTACTCTCTGCTTTGTGTCACTTCCCCTTCATGTCAGCTTTCTTTATGGCTGAAGGGGTCACCAGGGTGAGGCCCTCTAGAAGCAACCGTAACTTGCACAGGGAGAGGGCCTTTGCACACCCCATGGGTGGGACTGCCAGGATCTGATCCCACTGAGGCAGGTATTTAAAGTCTTCACATGCACTTCAGTAGCACTTGCTCCTGCCCTCTGGCCAACGTTGAGGGGGGTCCATTAAAGACACATTCGGGGGCTTCTGTCCAGATGGGAAGGGTGGGGGCTCCATGGTGATCCAAAGCCAGTTTCATTAGAGCTGTGGTGGGCTAGGAGGCCACTCAGTCTAATTCTTCCTACCCACTCACTTACAGAACAGGAAATTGAGGCAAAAAAGACTAAGTGACAAGCCAAAGTTGCACAATCAAAGGAGGCTTAGGAATTAGAACCTAGGTCTGGTGTTTACCACCCAGGGTTCCCATTGGTGGGCAACCTTGGCTCTCTATGTGGATAACAGAAGGGTCAGCTAAGTATCATGTGAGTCACACACTTTATACTTTTACTTTATATTTCCCTCCCCCAAAGATGTCAGTGCAATGAAGGGGGCCCTGCCAGGGCCCAGGGAAGCCTGGGGCCTCCTTCAGACTGACCAGCTAATCAGTGGAGGATGTTGTCCTCAGCCTGTCACGTTGTCAAACTAAGGCTGATGAGTATCCTAAGGTTTGTTACCGGCTCCTTATGTCAATTAAGAAAGTTGATCACTTACAACACTCAGTGTAAAATAAGAATTTAGATGCTTAATTACTTGAAGTGTATTAATTATTTCTTTTTACCTCTTCTTCTGATTTTTTTCAAAGACCCAGTGTTGACAGGTTTTCTCCCTGAGGAAATAGAAAAAGAACATAAATCTCTCATATTTATAGTATGACATTGCAAATAGTCTTTTACAAAAACACCATTCAAACATAACTTTTCTGTCTTGTACTTCCAAGAAAACGAAAACAGCAAATGCCGAGATTGGAAGTTAGGGACATTTTCTGTAAAGAGCCAGACAGTAAATATTTAAGGCCCATCATTGCTGTTGTGATTGCTCAACTCTGCCGTTGTGTTGTGAAAGCTTCCATAATACGTAAGTGAAAAGATGTGGCTGTGGCTCTCTTCCAACAAAATTTATTTACGAAACATTCAATGGACTGGATTTGCCCTGTGGGCCAAAATTTCCTGAATCCTGGCCTAGCCTATATTACAAAGATGATTCTTAACTGAGATTCATTCTATATTTCTTTTACTAATATCTCCAAGTCATTCCAAATAATTTTGAAGCAGCATTTTATGTATTTCCCAAGCAACACGGTGGGAAGAATAGTGAAGTTAAGACATCTGTTGCGAGTTTACTGTGTGCCGGAACTATCACTAGATTTTGTCTCTATTAACTTCATCCATAGAACAGACCGATCAGACTGATCCTTAGGACAAACTAATACTATCATCATTTTACAAGAGAGGAAATCAATGCACACAGATAAAAATACAAATTAAGTAAAGGTGTGGAAGATTTCCTTTGAAAAAGAGACAGAGAGAAAAGGCAGTACTGTAAAATCATGGGGGAGACCTCAGGGTGGATTTTACCATTAACTGGTCAGATACCTGCCATGAACTTAAACTTGAAAGATTTTTGTACTGAAAATGGTGGTGAAAATGAGGAAGGACTTCAAAAATAATCTGAAGGGGAACTTATAGAAGTTGTTGCCCAAGTTCCTAGAAACAGATCTAAAGGTCTTAAAATGATCTTCGAAATGATGCACTGTTACTCCTGCCCTCCTAGTCAGGGATGTGGGGAATCCGTTAAAGATTTGGGAAATTCATTAGACACTCCTTGGGTTCCCTGGTTACAATGCAGAAGAGAAACCTGCCCACGGCCCCAGTCCAGGGGTCGATCCACAAGATGCGAAGGTGTATGTGAAGGTGGGATGGGCCTGGGAGGGCAGTCCGTTTATAATTATTTGTCTCATTTTGTTTTACTTTACAGTTGGGTAAACTGAGGCAGAAGAGGTGAAATGACAGACCCAAGTCTAAACAGTTCCCTGAGGGTGATGGACGCAAGGAAAGATGGCCACATCACTTGTTAGTAACACGGTGTGTTCTTCGGCTACAACTCTTTCCAGCCTCGAGAGCTGTCAGCGCAGCAGCAGCTATGCTGTGGTGGGCCTGGGCTCTGGGTTCTGGTTGCAGATTCATCCCCAAGTTACTTGTTGGTGGTAGTATCATCTTTCTATCTCTGTCAAAATTTTGGAAAGTGACTAAATCTGATGTATTTCTCAACAGTTAGTATTGCTACCTAAAGCAATTATGGAAATATGTTGTTAAAAGCACAGAACAAAGCATGCACATTAAGGTGTTAAGTTATTGCAAATGTATTTTCTTTTTCTTTTCTTTTTTTTACCTCTTGGTCTGTTTCTTGTCCACGAGGCTCTGTTACTCTGAGTTTGGGTTCTATGTCCGCCTCTCTTTCCCATGAAGAAAATAGGAAAATAGGAAAATGCTAAAATATAAAATATAAAAATTTTTATTCTATTTAGCCACAAATGATGTGGCTGTGCCTCCTCATGTCCATCACCCTTAGGTAACCATGTAGACGTGGGTCTGTCACCTCACCTCTTCTGCCTCAGTTTACCCAACTGTAAAGTAAAACAAAGTGAGATAAATAATAAAATATAAAGCATAAAAATGCTAAAAAGTTATGCTGAATACAATAGTGCTTTAATAATTCCATTTTAGTTTAAAGTTTTAACAACCTAATGCACAAAGGAAAATATATAACCCATAGCTTTGCACTTACCAAACCTTGGATGGTTAACCTGGATTCATTCTGATTTCATATTCTTTACCCTCAGACTAATCTAAATTCATTTATGTCTACATTAACAATTAAAAAAGGAATTTAAGACAGTTTCATTTCTTGTATCTTAAGAAACACAGTGAGAGGAGTAATACTGAGACCTAACAGTGGTTATATGATTATTATATGCCCGACACAACTACAAGACCCTTACATCTACTAATTTATTTATGAGACAGTTACCTTTACTCTCCCCATTATCCATGAAGAGACTGAAGCATCCAGAAATTTAAAAATTAAGTGAAGCAATGCAGTCTTCTGTTCGAGAGACAGGAATCCAGGGCAACAATGCAAGAACTTGGCTTGTCTAGAGAGACATGGTGTGAGCTACACAAATGAAATGCTAGCTGTTATCTTAGCCTTGATGAGGGCTTTGGGGCTGAAAACAGAGTGCAAGTGAGCAAAGACCTTGACCACATGGGTTCTGGCAAAAAATTAGGATCTAAGGAACTATCTGAGAAAATATTGCCCAAGGGGAATTTATAGGAATAGAAGTTCAAGCCCTAGAAACCTTTAGTGTTAAAGGTATTGAAGAAGGGCTCATTGAAACCCTAACTCAGGGGATTATGCTCTTGGGTTCATCAGGCAATGCGGTGTGGGTGGGAAGAGGGTGAGGCCTGTGCAGAGGCAGCCTCTGGGCGCCACGTTCAAACATGCCGATCTGCGAGGCAGGGCCACGAAGAGCTCGGCCTTCCTCCCGTCCTCCCTCCTTCTCTCTCTCTGTCTTTCTCTCTTCCTTCTTTTTTTCTTCAGTTCTACAGCTAGACCGCAATTTGGGCTTATTCAGCCAAAGATATCTTAGAAAATCACACCGTCTTTTTCTGTCCCTCTGTTTTTCCTGGTACTGCTGGATTCACCTTTATTCAAATCTGTTGAGGCCAAATGAATTAAAGGTATAAAAGTCGTCTAGTTCAGCTTACCAGAGCTCTCCTCCCTAGCAGATTTGGTGCTTAAGATCTGCTAATTATACAGAGGTACTGGGTTTTCCTTAATAATTGTTGTTTGTGAATTTTCTTGCTCAAATACCCCCACAGGAAGTAGAGTGGCTGTTCTTAGGTTCCCTGTCCAAATACTGTCCATTGACATCACAGACTTGCTATAGAAGTTGAGTAAAATGCTCTTCTCTTAGGGCGTGTGAGGAGGCTCTAGCCTCCAGTAATCGATCTGTGTCTCCAGGAGTATGGGGGAGGCAGAGACATTTAAAGACTCCAAGCTGGAAGGGTAGGGAGGGTGACTACACTGGGAGCCAGCTAAACGCCCACTAGGAGGGCTGTGAAGAGGTGTGCAAAAGGAGGCGAACTGCCCACGCTGCTCCTGTCATAATGGCCAGTTTTGAAGCTCGTATACTTCACCCCAAATGGGTACCTTGAAGAAAGACTGAGTTTTAGTGACCGTTAGTATAGATGTGGTCTGATTCATAAGGAAGCTGTGGAAGGTTCGGGAGTGTGCGACGGGTACAGAGAGCATGGATAAGGAAGCGTGGGGAATCTGTGACGATGACGTCTGGTAAACAGAAAGTGGATAAAGAACGGTCATCACTATTTGTAAATAAAAGCAAGAGTGTGGAGAGTATTGGCCTTTAAGTAATAATGCTTATGAAGTATTATATAAGATGTAATCTTTCAAAAAAGATATGAACATCCTCCCCTAAGTTCTGAACAAATCATTCACATAATGTTTTTAGGTGAAGACAAGAAAGAAAATCTGAAAATAAAAATATAGGGCATCTCAAGCTGATTCAGATTTCAGCAAGAAGATGGGAAGCTGTAGTACAAAAATCTGTGTGCACCTTCTTTTACTGTTTTTATTCTAGGTAAGATCCTTTTCAGGCTCTTCTCTATTTCTGACAACAAAATTGAACTCTATGGGTTCATATTTCTTGTAACGCTAACTAATGAAATTCCAGAGATTAGATTTTAAAAATGAAAAATCTTTATAACTAACAAGGAATTATGGAAAGAGATGGAGGGGAAGTCCCCTCAACCCCAAGCTGTGGAAGGACAGAGTATTCTGTGCCATACGACTAATTAAAGATTTATGATTTGACAAGATGTTAAATTGAGAAATTTCATAATAAGATTAAGTCCTGTTCTGTACAATATGGAGATATGTCTCTTGTAATCGTCATCAATTTGTCTGTTCTCTGTTAAAAAAATTTGTCCTTGGAAAAGTTATTTGGGTCTTGTAAAATTCCCCCAAATTAGAAATTATCACTACTTCTCATGAACCCAATTTCCACAGAAAACTTAGTTCTGATTGTCTTGATAATTTGGGGACACAGTCATACTATTTTAAGTGACATCTGGATCCCTAAACTGCATAAAAGCTTGTAAGATTTTATATGGAACAGAAAAAGATCCTTGGCATTGTGACTTCCTCACATGCAAGTAGGTAATAAAATGACCATAGATTTTTCTATTTAAATAGAGATTTTGAGAGACTTGTCTCATTTAAATTCACAGCAGCTATTATGTAATAGGAAAAAAAAAAAGATATTCATTAGCAACAAATTTATACAACATATAAAACTTTAAAAAAATGTAAGAAAATTCTTAGTGAAAGAACATTAAATAAGACATGAATAAATGGGTAAAAGTTTCTGTTCTCCCCAGTTAACCTGCAAATTCACTGCATTTCTAATCAGAGTTCCAATAAACGTGGGAAGGAGGTGGGGGGAATCATCTTGAGTTGATTCTAAAATTCACCTCCAGTGAGTCAGGATGGCGCTGCCTCTGGGTTCTCCTTTCTTTTCTGTATCCCTTCAATTGCAAAAGAAAACCGAGTAGCTAGGTAAAGGCCCTGTATGATCAAAGTGGCAATTCACATCATGATGTAATAATGTAGGGAATATTTTTACATTGCCATTTCCCATATGCACAGGGAGGCAAAACCCACAGGATTATAGATGTCAACATTAAAAATGACCAGGTACTTCAAACATTTGACTCTAGAATCAAATATAGAAAACTATCTTTAAAATCTTCAGCTAGAAATGGCCGTTATAAATATGATGGGAAACCCAAGAATCAGAGAAAAAAAGAGCTGGCAAATTTGACTACCTAAACATTTATAACTTTGTGAAGACAAAAGATTACTTTAACAACCTTAAAGAAAAACAAATGGGATAACATATTAGCAACATATACAACTAGGGTTTAACAAATGTGTCATATTAGGATTTCTACATTCATTCAGCAGTGCCAGAAAAAGAAAAACACCACAGGAAACTCACAGCATTCTGAGACAGAGTTCCATGATGAAGAAAAATGAATGACCAATAACAAATGAAAAATGCTCAACCCACTAGAAATGAAAATTGTGTGTTAAAAGCACCCTTAAATAAGACTATTTATTGTTCAATTGAAAATGCTAAATATTTCTGTTGTCTAGATATGATATATTAATTTTAAAAAGCAAGAAAAGGGACAGTATGCACAGAATTACCTTACTAAGATAAATGAAAATCTATTTGAAAATGTATTAATACATGCATCGAAGAATTCTGGAAAGATATGCACCAATGTCTATAAGAAATATATATTTTAAAAACAATAAAAAGCAACATGAAGGTCTGAGCATCTTTGAAAAAAATAGTTACTTTAAAAGGCATGCATTTTTTGTCTTCTGAAAGATACAGAAAATAACAATAATAAATGTTAGCATTGAAAAATAGTTCATTTGTAACATAAAAATCAAGTCAATTCTTAATTCATTCTTACTTTTTTTCCCATGGTGCGTTCCCAAAGTAGAATTGTTTCCATTATCCATGGTATCTAGGCAGTAATAAACAGTGGTCAGAGAACTATAATTTATAGCTAAAAGTTACAGATCTTATGATTGTAATTTCCAGATTCACATTGTGGAAGGTTTGAGTTTGTAATGATGTTCCTTCTAAAGGAACCACATAGGTACTGAATTCATATCTAAGGTGTTGCTTTGTTTCTCTGAGACTTTGAGGAAGTTCTTAATGACTTAAGTGCCTCGGTTTCTTCATTTGGAATGAGGAGAGCAACTGTTACCCTGTTCAGGCCTTAAATTTTTTATGAAGATAAAATAAGATGTTGTTTGCAAGTGTTAGTAAGAAATCACCATACAAATCAATATTTGCCGGAGGGCATCCTTCAAAACTATACATCGAGTTTGAGAATAGTTATCTGAGGTCTTTTTTCCTGACAGGTCGCAGGACCATCTGTCCTTTGAGGTCTTTCCAAGGTTGTGACAAAGTAACACTGTTGTTATCTGCCAACAGAAGAACACTTGGATTTCTTTGTTCCACAGACAGGGGTGGAAGTCACTATATAAATCTGACACTTCAGTATTAATGTGCTAATACAGTACTCAAGGTACTGCCATTTTTACCAATGGATTTCTACGACAGCTTCCATGTATAATCAACAGGGCTGATCCTGTTAAACAGCTTATAAAGGTCTCTTGCTTCCCTGCAGTTCCCAAAAGGGTCAGATCAGACTAACACAGAGAATGGGATTTGGGCGTGGGCTGATCCTTCCTTTTCAAAGTGTGCTCAGAGGCAAGGGCAGCAGGAAATGGAGCTCTGACTACAGACCCCTGACACCCGGCAGCCAGGGCCCTGGGACCCTCGCCTTCCAACTCTCGTCTCCTCCCGCCTGGTGAGCTGTCCGATGTTCTCCTTGACTCTGACCCCCTACCCCATACCCACGGTTTGTGGTAGCCACTGAACCACCTCTACAATAAGGCCCTTGGGCCGCCTTACCCATCACGTCAGAGGCTTGGCTACTTTCCGTCCTTGCTCCTTGGCCTCTTGGCACTCCTTCTGAGAAACACATGACACAGGAACACTTCTTGTTTTCATGTCTTTGTAGCTCTGCTCCTAGGTTATGATTTGTAAAGAGTTTTCATTTGCACCCCCTCCTTCCCACTGACCTTCCTTTCCCCCCTCCTACATCGAAGCATGGCCCCAACACGGAAATATTTCTTTTATTGCTCCTCCTTGTCTCTGTCCCTTCCTTTCAGTCTTTTTTTTTCTTTTCACCAAATCACTATCATTTTCTAATTTCCCATTATATGCTTCTCTCATTCATTCATTGGTGACATTTTGTGCATTACTTTCATATTTACTTTTATGTGAAATGTTGTTTATTAAGTTTATATGAATACACATATGTGTATATGTAGAATTAAATTAATGACATAATTTTTGTAAATATTTTATATAAATGCTATAATAAACTAACTTTGCCAAATTTCCAAATGTTGGACTACAGAAAGTGAAAAATTTTTTCTCACCCTCTCAACAAATGTGCTAAGCTTTTTCATGTGCCAGGTGCTGAGATGGACACTGCTGATAACACAGGGCACAAGCATTGGTTCTTGTCAATCTTATGAGCACCCAGGGAATTGACACACAAATGAGTGAATATATTGACATATGAAGAGTGTTAGGACACAGATCATGCAGTGAACTCTGGGGAGGCAGGCCAACGCAAGAACTAGCCTCTGATGAGCGCATAGGGGGATCACAGAGGCAGGAGTCAGCTAGATTAGGTAGGAAGGAGTCAAGACAATGACTTCAAATGGATGCAGAGGCATGTGCAGAGATCTAGACTCAGTGAACTCAAGTAACCAAAAGGAGTTTAGCATGTTCGAGCACGGAGTGAGAGAATGAGGGGCAACAGTGAGGATGGAGAAAGAGGCAGGAGGTCTGAGGTAGGTGGCTTTGGAAGACTTAGTCCTAAAGGAAATTAAAGAACTGGATTTTATGAAGGAAGCAGCATGCAGATGTATGCATTTTTGAAAGATCATTTTAACTAAATTACTTAGGATACATTTGGTGGGATCAAGACTACAAGGAGGACAAACAGGAGCCTGTAGCTTTAGCTCAGTTGTGAAGTCATGTAGATGTAGATTAGAGTGACAGCATGGGAATGGTGATAAATGGACAGACTGGAGACATTTAAAAGGATGAACTGATAGAGTGAGGTGGCAGATGGGGTATATCAATTGAGGAGTCAGTGGTGTTATGAATGAGAATTTCAACTTGAAAGCATGGGGCAATTATTAGTTTGTTTTGGCGATAGAGAACCCTGGAGGAGCAGATGCTGGCTTAGGGGGAAAGATGATGTGCTCAGTTTTAGGAGTGTTAATTTTGAACATCTTGATAGACATCTAAGTGGAGAAGGCTAGGACCTTCAGAACTTTGGACAGAGGTCTTTCTGCCACTCGGATGAATGAGTTTAGATACTGAGCAGACGGGGCTGGGCTGGTTATATATGTTTAAGAACCTTTAAGTTGTGGGTAGTGATGGATGCTATGAGTGGATGAAATGCCCCAGTGAGGAATTGTAATCTGAGTCAGTTAGAGGGGACACTTTGATACCTGGGGACTCATTACCCTGAAAAATTACTGCTACTGTGAACCACCTCTTGTGCCAACGTTTCCTTCATCTCATGATCATTTCAGATCTCACAATTTCCATCTCTCTCCTCTCCCCTTAACACCCTCTCTCTACTGTTTTCCTCTCATCTTTTAGCTCTCTCTCTGCCTAGTTCTCTTTGCAGCTTCTCTTTACTCCTCTCCACTTATTAACCCATCCATGTATGTGTCTCAGTCTATTTTTCTATGTTTCTATCTCTGGATCTAGTTTTGTTATTGAAGTAATCCTCTTTCTACTGTCACTTTGCTTTCTGCTTTCTCTTTGATTCTAGTCTGTTTCTCTCAGTCTTATCTTGATCGTTTGGCTGTTTACAATTACAATCTTTGTCTTTATCTGTATTTTCTTCATCTATATTCACCTTCCTCTCAGAGATTCCTACTTTCATCATCACCAAATGCCTGCTCCTTTGTCACTGACTCCCCTATCGAACACTATTACTCTTGCCAGGTCCCTGTGAACTTTCTACATTACAAACCTGTCAAGTTAGCCATGGACTTTACTACCATGTTTCTGGCACAACTTCTGAGAGGTATCTTGAAAATCATCACTCTTACCTCACAAAAATCCCCAATCTGGTGATATTGAGACTCCACATCTACTTGGAAAAACTTGAAACTTACTCAGATATCTTTTCATTTGGAGACCCAGGCTATCTTTCCATTCTTTCTCCTTACATTATCCACTGAGTGTCTCCTTGCTCCTTTCAGGAGCCCCACTCTTCTTTCTCCTGGCTCTCTCAAGCCTGTTGAAAGCAGTTCAGGTCTGTGCACAAGTCTGTGTGTGTAGGAATGTGCATGTGTTTGTGTGTGCACGTACATGAAATGTTTTTGGGGAGAGACAAGGTAAAGAAGGAAGAACTTTTCCTCTGTGCAGATAGGAAAACAAAGATAATTTATAACTGGCTTCACCATCACATGCTAACAGGCTGGCATCTCTTCTGACCTTTTTCCTCTATTCATCTGAAGAGCTTTGAATTCACAGGACAATGAAGGGAAATAAGGAAATGACCTACTCTAGACAGTGACCAGCAAACACACTTCAAGGTGGTCGTGCTCATGTGTGTTCATTGCTCAGATGAGCTGAGAAAACACCTACTCTAGTAATTACACCTTCTGTCCAACAGGGATTTGCTCTGTCACCTTTTCTATCTAGCCACACCTGTCCTCTTCATGTCTCAATTTTCTGCCCACTGCCCTGCACATTTCCATTCTGTCATTGATTCTGCGAGCTTCTCCCTGATTTCTCTGGTTCTCCATGTTACTTTCTCTCTTTTCATCAATGACGATGCTTGTAATTTCTGTTCCTTTTTATTTCTCTACCCTTGGCTCTATCCATCTAGGTATTTTGTATATCTAAGAGCTTGCTCCATTCCTACCCTCTTTGGCTCCTCATGATTTTCATTTTTATATCAATCTATCATCTATTATCTATCTATATCTTTCCAATATCCACACCAATATAGGTGGTTATATATCCACCAACATATTATATACTTGTCAAGTAAGTTTTCTTATATCAGGCATGGATACGTTCCACTGGGCATATGCCAGGTCCCTGGTACCTCCTCTTTGGGTTTTGATTATGTGACTCAGCTTTTATCTTCCTGCCTGTTACTTACAACAGTCACCCTTTTAGACCCTTATACATTTGTACATCTTTTTCGTTATCCCAAAATGGGAATAGCAGAGTTAGCCTGTCTAAGACTTAAGGATTTTGTGATGACAAAGTAAGATCTTATTTGCCAAAGTACTTTAAAATAACATGATGAAATCCAATTACAATGTAATAGACATCTGTCACAAACTGTATTAAAGTTTGAGAGTTTTTGATCTGGAGCTTTTATTTCTGTCTAAAATCACATAGCAGAACCAGTTGTCTTTGAGGCTTTTACAATTACAAATGACATTGGTGTTAGTCAATATATCACTGTAGAATCTAAGATCTTAGTGTTAGTAAGCATGGCAGTAGGTCTTTAAAAAGATACCATCATTTTGCTATTTATTTCTTCAACAAGAGCAATACGTAATTACATACATTTGGTCAATAGGACTCATCCTGTTAAACATTAATTTATAATAATTTCCTGCCTCCTTCCATTTTCTAAAATGCTGATAAGGAGTTCCCAGGGTTAACTGGATACAAAGTCTTCAAGGTGCTCAGAACAAAATGTGTCAGGAAACAGTAGTTTTTAATTCCTGACATTCTGCAGGCCAAGGCTGGGCATCCTAATCTTCTTTACCTGACCCACTTCTCAGGGCTGAGCTAGAAGTTTCCTGAGGCTCTTCTCCATTACTCAGTTGTGAAAAGTCACCACTGCCGATTCCTGCAAAAAAAAAAATACAATTCCTTAACAGTCTCAGTCTGTGTCCTCAGAACCAATCCAGCACCAACTTCTTTTTTTTCTCATTTATTTATTTACCTGTGAGACAATTTAAGGTCCACTCTTTTTCTTTTTTTTAAGTGTAAGGTATTATTGATATACAATCTTATGAAGGTTTTACATGAACAACATTGAAATTACAACTTTCACCCATATTATCACGTTCCTCCCAACCCCATTGCAGTCACTGTCCGTCAGGGTAGTAAGATGCTATAGAGTCATTACTTATTTTTTCTGCTCTGCCTTCCCTGTGACCTACCTATATTGTGAGCAGCACCAAATTCTTTAAAAGGAAAATTGGAAAGGGGAAGCTTGTGTAGAAGGAGTAAGAATATTCCTATTGCCAAGCCTCTGGCTCTATTGACCTGTTGGTCAAGGTTGTTCCAGGATCCATTCCCAAGGACTGGAGACAACATCTTACCTTCTCTATTTGTCGGCATATACGTCTGCTTCCAGATTTTCCACTTATCCAGGGAGGCTGTGAAAGCAACATTTTCAAGATGTCAGAACTTCATCAGCTGGGATGTTGGTGATCATGTGAGCAGAGCACCCTTCCACCCCAGGAGCTACTCTACCCTATTCATGTGAATGAAGAATAAACTTGTATGGCACTTGTACCACTGAACATTTTGAAGCCTACATGTTATATCAATTCGCCTAGCCCACCCAGTTAAAAACGCATAATGTCAATCATCTAAAATCTTAATTTTTTAATTTTAAAGGGTATAATAAAAAATTTGAATGAAGCTTTTGTAGCAGAGCAAGATATTTGTTACATCAAGAGCTTTAATTGCTCCTATGTATTACCCCCCAAAATAGATTTGTTCTCAATATCTGCAGGATCTAGACAGTAAAGGAAAACACAACCAGTAATCTAGGATTGAAAGGTTTGTAAGTCTATGACTACACACCCGGTGGACAGGATTTGGACTAGAAAGACTGATCATTTCTCTCTTCCCATCTACTAAATGGAGCAGAGACTTACAATCCTTTGGCTCCAAATGCAAAATCAAAGAAGTTTTGAAAACCACTATTTTTTTTCTTAGGCTTATGGCCAACTAATCTGGCAGTGAATCTAGACTTGAGCTGCCATGAGTCTGTGTAAAATCTTTATTTATCATATTTGGTTGAATTCACACAATTTGTTGCAGGAACATTAATATGGTATATTTAAGATTGGATTCTGTCCCAGACCAACTGTGAGGTGTTTTATGATATATGGGATATAAACCACATTGTCTTCCTAAAACATTACTATTTTACATCTGGTTTGAAAGGTTTTGGATAAGGGATTATGGCTGTTTGCTAGGAGTCCAGGCTGTTAGTTCTGCCTTTTCTGGTAACTTCCCATATGTGATGTTTAAAAGGTCCTTAAATGTTTATGTGCTGGAGTTTCCCCATCTGTGGAATGGAGGAGAACAACAGTTACCTGACTTGCCTTTTAGGTTGCTGTCAACATAAACTGTTACTTATTGTGAAGATATTTTCAAATGTCATGTAGGTCAATGTCGTGTTGGGATCATCTGTCAAAAGCTATAAACTAACAACAGCTTAATCACCAGAAGCTTGCTTTCTGTCAGTAATTAGAGTCTATGCTCAAAGTCTTTTAAGTTTTTAACAAGTTTGTGACAAAATCAAAGAATGGCAGAGAGCTCCACTTTCTCTACTCTCTCCAAAATAGGGGGTGGGCAGAGTTGAGAATCACTCTGTAATCCAATACTTTGCATTAATAAATCTGAAAGCATGTAATTGCAACAGTACTTTGTTCAATCAGAATCATCTTGCTAAATCTGAATTTAAAAGGGATCCTGGGCTACGGAGTGTGCTGAGTAAAATGCACCAGGAGACAAGAGCTCAGAATTCAGACTCTTGATGTCCCAGAGCCCAGCAATGGCAGTCCTTACCTCCCTCGTCAGAATCACTTCTCACTGCTGAGCTGCAGGCTCCCGGCGGTGCCTCCTCCCCACTGGACTCGGAAGAGTCATCATATCTTTTCACTGCAGTAGGGGCAAATGTCCCTTGAAGGCCCCAGTGTACCAAGGAACCAAGAGAGGAGAAACTTAGGAAGCTGAAAACCCAGGGCAAGAATGTCCCTAGGACAGTCTTTGCAGTCTGGTTGAAGAAAGCAGGTCTCCCACTTGGCTGCTTCCCTATATTCTTTCTGAATCAGAGTCCCTCCCCTCTCCCATCTAAAGCTTCTTAGAGTGTTTACTTGCAAACAACAATTTTAATTTTATTTTGTTTGACTCCTTGATTCCTTTGGGTTTATTACAGTCTTTAGCCTAACTAATACAAAAGACTAAATAGGAACAAATTAAAGCAAATTTATATTTTACTTTGAAGGATATGGCAAGGAATTAGAATGAATCTTTGGTAGAAGAGACTGTTCATTTGTAACCACAAAGAGTCTTTTCCCCCTTACCTCTTTTATAAATATAAGCTCTTTTTCTGGATGCAGGCAATTTTCTGAAACCCATGGGCTCTGTAAAGTAAAGGGGAGGAAACAAGTTATTTGTACACAAAAGTTCTTGGAAGTTCTATGACAGCTCACACAGCAGACCGGCTTTTGATCATAATGATGTTTTGATGATCATTTCCCTCTCCTTCCTTTAACTGAACCCAGTTCTGGTGGCCCAGGGTCATAGTACTGGGGCCCTGCTTGGCTCTCCCTTTTACACTCCATGCGAACTGGTAAGTGACTCTTAAACATTACCATCTCCAGTTTCCTCTTTCATAATGTGGGATAACTTGTTACTCTATCTCCCCATTAAGGATTTTGTGAAAACAAAATGAAGCTTTATTTACAAAAGCCCTATGAAAAATCACAACATAAGCCAATGGTTTAATTAATTCAGGTTTGAGAGGAGTTGATCAGACACCATTTTCCCACCAAATAATTCAAGAGCAGCACAAATTGTTCTTTGAAGACTTTCTAAGTTTGGGACTAATGACAGTATTGTCAACAAAGAGGTACACTTGCTTACTATGGTTGATGGAACAGAAAGCATGTTGTAGAAAAGGAAGTACATTATTTCAACTCTTTAGCATTAGTAGACATGTTAGTGTGTAGTAAAAAAGACTGTCATTTTCCTAGAAGATTTTTGCTACATTTTCTGTATATCAATCAGGTGGGCCCACAACAGTTTATAATGCCTTCTTGCTTCCTTCCATTTCCCAACTGAAGCCCGAGAAATTGAATGCAGAAAATGGTATCCTGGAAGTAACAGAATGAAGGCATATGGAAAATGCTCAGAATAAGACTCACCAGGAAAACAGAGCTCTGAATTCCGACTCTGAATATTTGTTGTCCAGGCTATGATCCTAACATTCTCACCTGGTGTAATCTGAGTTTGTGAGCAGGTGGCTTCTTGGGTCTCTCCTTCCCCACTCGATTCTAATGAGTCGAGGTTACCGATCACTGCAAAGAGGAACAGGAATCTTTACGGGTCTTGATGTGTGACCAAGAAACAGAGTCAACAGGCAGTTTCCTGATAAGAAAATGTGGAAAAATCTTGACAAACCATGCAAATCATGGCCTGCAGCTAGGTGACACTGGTCGGCCCTTCTACGTCACCTGCTTTGTAGGTTAGTCATGCTCTGTTCGCTGTCCCCAGCGGCAAGGGGAACCTCTGTTTGAACCTCACTTTCCGACATTTCTCTCTCTTCTGCCTCTTACCGTTATTGTCATTTCACATTTCCTTCATCTCTGCTGTTTCTCATGCAAGGAGACCTTGGAAATCTTGTGCTGACCACAGTGAGTCTTATCTGTCCCCATCAACCCGCTGCCTCCCTGAATATTGGCAAGGCTACAAAATCTCGTGTCCAAGCTGTAGTCATATTTTGGGACGACCTTTTAGAGCAGTGTGCCTACACTGAGGCGAAAATTAGCACCCTCTTAAAACTGAAGCAAATGTACATTGTACTTTCATAGATCTAGTGAGCAATTAGAATGTATTATTTTAAATACTGTTCTTTTGTAACATCAAGACCATTTTTATTTGTTCTTAAGTTTTCCCTAGTATTTTTCCCCAAAAAGGCATGTCTTTAACATCCTAAGTCTAGAAAGTAGAAAGGGTAAAAATCACCAATTTGTACACTAAAGAGTTACAAATCTTATGACAACTTGTGCTACACACAGGATTGAGAAGACACAACATTCTGATAATCATTTTTAGCTCTCATTTTACAAAGGAAAAATGCAGAATCCAGGATACTAGTCTTGTCTTTACCTTTAATTCTCCATGAGACTTCCTAGAAAACTGTGAAATGTGTATGTGATTGTGCTTTCTCATCTAGAAAACAATAACAATGTCTATTTCACTTAGCCCTCAAGATTATTGTAAAGGAAAAAGTAAAGTATTATTTGCAAAGTTCTTTGACAAATCACTATATATACCCTGAGTAGCTGAAGAACTCTGTCAAAAACAGTACTTTGGGTTTCAGAGTCTTTTTTCTGCTAACTAGACAGCTGGGTGGGTGAGTTGTGTTTTGAAGCAATTTAAAGTTTGTGATCAGATGACAATATGACTTTCCAATGGTAGAATATGCAGCTTTCTGTTTCCTATAGAAATCATTGTATAAATCCAACACTTTAGAATCATAGAAACTAGTTAGTTTTAAAAACAAACTTTTTACTTTGATAGCCTATTTCTACTCTGTAATCAATATACAGGTGCATATATTGATTAATAAGGTCCATCAATGAATGAATAGGTCTCTCTCTCTCTACACACACACACACACACACACACACACACACACACACGCACTGATTTCTTATCTCCCTACATTTCCCAAAAAAGCCTTGTAAAATAAATGCAGAAGGATGAGATTCCTGGATAAATGATCCACTGTTTAGAATGGGCTTAGAAAAAGATGCATCAGGAAATAGTAGCTCTTAGTTCCGATTCCTGCAGCCCCAGCCTGTCTCCCCACTTCCTTACCAGGCTCACTTTGCAGTGCCCAGGTGTAGACTTCCGGGGGCTCATCTGCATCACTGGATTCTGCAGAATCCTCACTGGTGATCACTGCACAGAGGAGCAAAACCCCTTAGAGTTTCAGGGTTGGGCCCCTGAGCCCACATAGCAGGAAACCCTGGGAAGACCTGGAACCTAAGGTAACTCAAGGCACCTAGTCTGCGCTTGAAGGTGTCTGTCACGCAGGTTACTCCAGGTCCTAACAGATGGAGATGGAAAATTTATGCACAGAGGGCAGCTGCCCGTCCTGTGAACGCTTCTCTTCCCCCCACCCCCGTGCCGCCTTTCTCGGTTCTCACTGTACCTCGCGGTCCTCTCGGCCCCGCCCTTCCCCCTACTTAGGCCTCTTTCCGGCAACGGTATCTCTTTCTACCTCCCTTTGCCTTATGTGTTTCTTTCTCTATCTCTTCTCATAAATTTTTTGACTTCCCATTTTTTCCTCTTTCCTTTCACTCCCATCCCCGTGTTTTCCTCTCTTGCTTTAGAAATAGTCTCAGACATCGGTACTGAAACCTACCGCTTCTCTCCCTTGATGCTTCCCTGATTCCTGGGATGCTCCCCTGTCGAACCCGCTGCATAAGGCATTCCGTTCCTCCCCTTCTTGCCCCCGTCCGGGGCCCCCTGGGCCCAGCCCCTTGCCTGGCTCCTGTAATCACATGACCCTTTCCTTCCTTACCTATTATGTCAGGTGCCTGGTTACAGCTCGTCCTTGCTTCTGCTTGCCGTTCAACTATTGGGTTAAAAAATGGCTTTTCCTTCTTTATATCCACCAGATTTACAGAGCAGGAATTCATTTGGATTCTATCACTGGGCAGCTTTGCTTCTGAATCAAAGGGTAATGAATGAAGAATTTTCATTTGCCTTCTCTAAAGGGGCCAAGTACCCTCCCCTGCTGTGAATAAGTCCCTCTCTCCCTGTAATTCCGCTGCAGGGTTTTTGCCCCCACCCTTCTCCTCTCCTGCTGCTCAGCTCTGTCCTTTCTTTTGTGTCTCTCTTAGTTCTGAGTTTTTTGGGCTTTGTTTATTTGTTTTTACTTTCTCTTCTCATCCTTTGATGAATGACTTTTTGAATATTTCAAAGTAAAAATTATATTTGCAGTATAATGTACATAGAGAAAAGTGAGTAAATCATAAATTTTGAGTTACCAGAAAGTTAGCATATCTGGGAGTCCATCATATTGGTCAAGAAATAGAAGATAACTAATGCCCCAGAAGCCTCTTAGTAATGCTTCCCACTAAGGGTCCCCACCATTTAGCTCAGGTTATCCATTGCCTAGATTTGTAACACCACCAATGATTAATTCTATCAGTTCTGAAATGTACACAAATTTGTATAAGTGAAAACATGCTTCTTTCTGTTATTCACTTTCTCTGTCTTCATTATTGGAGATGAGGGGGATTTGGCTTCTTTCTCAATATTATGTTTGTGAAAGTCATCTGTATTCATTTGTATATTTTTCAGTGCTGTATAGTGTTCTGTTATAGAAATAAACTTTAAAAATAAAACCATAAAATGTCTGGTTACAGTTTCAAGATTTTGGCTATTATAAATAATGCTGTTTTTCTATGTGTGGTTTTTTTCTTTTTTTTTTGGAACATAGTATGAATTTCTTTGGTTTCTGCTGAAGAGTATAATTGCTGAGTCACAGACTCTCTGTATTTTCAACTTGGGAAAATTATACCAAACTGTTTCTAAAAGCATGCATGAGGACAGAAACATATTGGAGAGAGCTTGGCAAATTCAAGTAACTAAAAGGAATTTGGTGTGCTGTGAAGGAGAGAGAGGCACGTGATGGGGGAACGTGCAGCCACGTGGTAGGTACCACTGCACACTCCACACCACGGTAGCATCATCCTCATGCTGAGGGCCACAAGAGGGCAGTGGGTTTGAATAGGAAAGCCATGTGACCTTGTTCACATTTTTGGAAGGTCCATTGAGCTGAAGGACAGAGACTAGATCTGAAAGGTACAAAATAGGCAAGAAAGAGATCAGCAGGGGACTGTTCCTCTATTTGAAGTGAGAAGTGATGGGGATCTGGGATAGAGTGACTATGCTGGGGATGGAGAGAGAGAGACAGGTTGGAGATGTTTTAAAGTCAGAATTTACAGAAGTGGCAAATAAAGTCATGGTTGCTTCAATCCATTAAAATTTGGGATTGTTTGTTGCATATCAGTAGATAACTGATACCACTTCTAAACAGAGATGTCCTTCTCATCTTTGAATAAAGGTCTTCAGGTACTTGGAGGAATGAATCTAGAGGACAGATCTGGGATGGAGATGTGTGTTTAGGAATCAATACATCACAGATGATTACTGAAGCCCTAGGCAGGATGAGATGTCTGGGGAGAGGCCTATTTTTATCTGAGGGGCTTATAGGGCCATTCTGATCAGTGCAGGCACTTTACCCTTCTTATTGGTATTAGGCAGCCCCTGGTGCCTCTTTCCAATGACTACCTTCTCAAGTCAATGTCTTCATTGGTCTTCTCTTTTCACTTGGTCTACTCCCTACTGATTTTTCATTCAGTGTCCTGTACCTCATTCTCTACAAAATTCTCCTTGAAAACCCCCCTATTTTTTCCTATTTGTTGGTAGTCATTTCCCTCTGTATATTTCTGTATTCACATTCTTTTTCTTTACATTTTTTTAATCACTGTCTCCCAGGGCCCAGCAGGGTCTAAGGTGAGACAGAGGAGATGCCTAGGGTGCAGGAAGGTGCTGAGAATGAGAGATCTTTCTGACATGTGCCCTGGGGCCTCCCTGCCACACCCTAGACTGGCCCTGCTTTTCTCTACCTGATTTTTCAGTTTATCCAGTCTCTGTTATATTTGCTACTTTCTCCTGTCCTATTTCTATTTCTTAATTATTAATGTGACCTTATGTTGCCCCTTCTACATTAATTTTTGTCTTTCTATACATTTTTCATCATCTCAAGCATTCCAACCATCACCAAATTCTCCACACTGAGTGCCTCCACCTGGCACCTCCTTTCTAAGGGTCCTCTCTCTGGGCTTCCTTACTGGCAAATCTGACCAGCAACATTGTACACAATTTCCATGTTTCTGCTATAACTTCTGAAAAGCAAGTTGCACTTACTTCCACCAACTCCACAACATGGCACTGTTTGCAGTCCATATCAGTTCATTGAAGACCTCTCTCAGCCCTGCACTTTTATTTGGTGTCCCCCAGTCCACCTTTTTCATATTCTCTCTCCTTGCAGTCTCCCCCTAGGGACACCCCTCCACTAAAGAGCACAGCTCTTTCTCCCTTCCATCGCACACCTGCTGCTAGCAGCCAGAGGTTGGGGTCTTGGAGGTGTTAGGCTGGAGAGGGGGCAGGTGGCCAGTACTGGAGAACAAAGGAAAGCTTTTGCTCTCATAGAAAAGCAAAGCTATAATGAGAAAATCGGTAAGATAAGTAATAATTACTTTCTTTTTCCCAGGACAAGGGGCTGGGTGTCTCCTTCCTTGCATCTCCATTGTTCACATGGGTAGGTTCTTGTTCACAGGACTCTGAGGATAGAGAAGACCGCAGGTGAGACCCCACACAGCCATGCTCTGCCCCATTCCCATTTCGCCACACCTCTCCTGGCTTCTTTCTGTCTTGGGTTTCTATGCACAGCCTCTCTGCCTTGTGCCACCTTCACCCCATGAAAGTGTGGGTACTCCATCCACTCTCCGGCCAGCCGCATCCCGACTCCCTTTGACTTTTCTTTCTGTGTCTCTTCCCCACTGAGGCACTGCAACTCTTCACCCTTTGTCTCTTAGTTTTTCCGTCCTGATTTTCCCCCTCCAGGTCTCTCCCACCCGTGTGTCAGGCTCATCCCTGCCCTCTGCGTCTGCTGGGCTAAAGGATGTCTCCAAGCTGTGCCTTCCCCTCCCTGCCGCCAGCAAGGGGGTCTGGCCCCTCCCACTCAGGCAAAGCCAGGCCGGCAGTCTCACCTGCGGTCTCCGACTCCGGGGCACAGTGTTCATTCGCTTCTTGGCCTTCTAGGGCCTTATTTTTGTCACTTGTTGCATCTTGTTCTTTTGCATTTATCTGTTCCGTGTCACAGAGGTGCTCTGAGGGCCCATTTTCCCGTGGGACGGTACCTATCAATTAGGGTCCAACAAGGAAATGCAAATCACTTTAAGCTTTTAAAACGGAGGGAATGTAATTCAGCAGATTGGTTACACAGTTGATGGAAGAGTTGAGAAGTCCAAATACAAGAATGTGCCACCCCAAAGAGAGTCCACAGGAAGCTGTGGGAGGGACCGAGGCAGAGCCCAGAGGCCAGGGCCACCAGGTGGATAGAAACTGGACCATGGCTGGCCTGCCTGGCGGGAGGTGGAGTCATGCATGAGATGCAGACACTGCCAGAGGTAGTGATGGAAAAATACCCGCTTCTCCCTTGCTCATATGCACGCATCTCCTACTAGCGTCTCCCACGTCAGGAACCCAGCAGGAAGCCAGAAAGCAAGGGAGCTAGGGCACAGCAGGGCAGGGAAGGGTGAGGAATGAATCCCCCTGCAAACACCACAGGACCAGCACACGCTTTCTGCCCCCATGCAAACCTTCTCTGTTCATTATCAGTTCCATCCATCCACCCCACCCTGTTCCTGCCAACCTCAATAATGTATTAATGGATAAACGTATTTTTCTGTGCAGTTCATTTTTTTTCCTTTGGTGCTATTTTTCTAAACAAAGTACTTTATGTAAAATATGATTTGAAAATAATTCCCAAAGTTTTAATATAGAGCATGCGCCCTGGCGCATGTTCTGGGCCACATCTGTAGCTCCTTGGAGCCGCCACTTGGGGCAGGAGGGTGAGGGGCAGCCCTTCCCTCACCTCTGCTTGCCACAACCAGCTGTGCTGCTGGGTCAGACCTTGGACACACTTACTGGTGGCTGAGGCTGTATCATTTGGGGTGTACATTGAAATTTCTCTCTTTATATTTTTGATCCCCGTCGCTGAGTTGCTCTGGGACTCCATTTCCAGGCAGGGCTGCCCTCAGACCACACTGTGAGTTACAAAGGATTCGCCTCCCCCTCTGGTGCTGAGCACCCACACTGAACCCCTTCTCCTCTGCTCCCCACTAGTCATCCACACTCTCACCTATTCCCACCAGCTGTGCTAGTAGATGAGATGCTAAGAATAGGGATTCATGTGTGTTGTTTTTATGTTTTTAAGTTAATTTTTTGGAAAAAAACATATTCACGAAAAGTATAACTTTGCTTTCAAAAATCACTTCAAATGGGTTTTTTCTTTTATAAAAATATAGTACTAATTTAGAACTGCCTCTCTTAAATGACACATCCCAGATGGAAACTGCATACTGGGGGCCTTCTGTGGTGCAGGAAGTTCCCTTAGAGCCTTCATGTTACTCATTTCCAAAGGACAGTCATGGAATAAAGACATAAAATTTATTACAGAGTAGTGGCCTCTAAGGGGGGAACCTGTGGCCCTCAGTTTATGTCCCTGTTCCAGAGCTTGGGACTGCTCCTTCAGCCTGGGGAATAATTAAATCCACAACGGACATCTGTGAGAGATGAAAAACCCAAAGTTTACTGTAATGGTTAAAAGCTAAGACTGACGCCAGATACAAATAATGATAATTCAACAAAGTAACAAGTGCACGGAACACCGAGGCACACCAGGCATGATTGTGCATGCTTTATGTGACATAACTTGCTTAAAACCCATCACCCTGTGAAAGAGGTTCTAGTATCACATCCATTTTACAGATGATGAAACTGAGGGACAAAGAGGGGATGCCACTTCTGCAGGAGGACAGGACAGAATTTGAAGCCAGGCTGCAGGACACACAATTCCTGCTCTGACATCGCCTTCCAGCGGCATTCAGTCCTAATCCTCAAGGGGGTGAATTTGCACAAACAGGCACTCTTGCACCTGCTTTTTCCTCTCTGACAGACAGGGATGATGTACCATCATTTAAAAGTTTTTGAGGAGATTAAGTGAAATATTGCCTGTATCACTAGGTGAGCTATTGTGACTCATTAGAAAATTAAATCATGATGATGAATGTCTTGAATTTATAATATTTTAAATGATTTAATAACATGATTACAAATACTATGGATTAAGGGACAATCAAGAGTTAGAGAAATGGTTATTGTTTGCTGAAGCACCCACGATTTTTTCCCAGAGGCCTGCCTGCTGCCCTGGATGATGGGGACGGTTTGCATGGGGAGTACATGGTATCCTCGGGTTTAGCATCCTGCCCCAGCAGGAGCATGTTCCTCCCTGTCCCTGCCCACATGTGCTGCTGCACTGGCCAAGCTGGTGTGCAGTCAAAGCACTGAGGTGGCAGCATACAAGACGGAGGCAGAGAACTGAAGCCAGGAATGTGGACAAAATGTCCAGGCCCAGAGGCATCAGGAACTGGCAGCAGGTGCATTTAAGGAATATGGAAGGAGTGAGTCTCCCAGGCAACCCAGAATACAGAGTCTGTGATTTAGATCCTTGGGGAAATCGGCAGATGCAAAGGCTGACCATTCTGGGCAATCAGTGCTACAAAGAAACAGGTCCCCCAACCCCCACATTCCAGAATGGGGCAAAAACAGCAAAAAGCACAGGATAGCATCAACAGGAACAGACCTTTGTGACACAAGTCTTCAGCCTGTGACCACGTCAGACTTCGATATGAATTTTCACCAGTTCCTAGGGGGAAGAAATTAGAAGTTTATTTCAGAAATTGAAGTATGGGTTGTGCCAGTCTCCCCTTATTTCTTTTTAATAAAGTAGGAGTTGAAGACCCCCTCCAGGTATCAATACAGAGACCATCTGGACTTAGCAGGTCCCACTGAACTCTTGCTGTCAGACTCCCTCCAGCAGGGTGGGGACTGGGGTCAGCTGCCATCACACTGTGTGCCCCACACAAGGCACTTGGGTAACTGGCAATGGCGTATCTTGATTCCCGTGGCCACAGAATCTGCCTTTGTCCCCAGAGCTGCCCCTGACTGGAGTCCTTGCCTTGGTTCCTACAAAGCCCTGGTGCCTCATCCCTACCCTCTTACTCCACATCCTCCTTCTACATATCTGTTCACTCAGCCTTGTTGGTCTTTCCATGAAGATGCATTATCTGACTCTCCCCCACATTCTCCAGCTATTGTATTCTTTTTTCTGTATTTTCCTTTGCATGCATTTCACAATTTGGGGTTTATGCTTATTAGATTACCGGGGTGGCAGGATGGGGGTAGGAATGCAGGCTGTGACATGATAGCCCAAAGCTGGAAACAACCTTTCATCAAATGATGAGTGAATCAGCAAAGTGTGGTTTATCCCCACAGTGGAATGTTATTCAGTAGCAGAAGGACTGAAGCATCATACATGCTACGACATGGATAAGCCTTGAAAACCTTATGTAAGTGAAAAGAGCCAGACACAAAAGGCTGTATGTTATATGATTCCATTTTTATGAAATATCCAGAATATGTAAACCCCAAAAGACAGAAAGTAGATTAGTGATTGCCAGGAGTTGGGGAAGAGGGGGCCAGGGAGTGAGAGTTAATGGGTGTGGGTCTTCCTTTGGAGGTGATGGAAATGTTTTGGAACTAGACAGAGGTGACAGTTGCACAACTTTGGGAATGGACTAAATACCACTGAATTGTACACTTTAAAATGATTAATTTTATGTTATGTGAATTTACCTCCATGAAAAATAAAAGAACACAGGCTCTGGCTGGGTTCAGAATGCCTGGGCTCATCCTTGCTCATGTGACCCCAGGCCAGCCACATGCGTGGTCTCTAGATTTCAGTGTTCTTATCTGCAAAATGGGCACAAAGGAATACTGACCGCCAACCGCAGCCGTGAGCTGTGACCTGGGAGCTGTGGGCCCCCGCTCCACCAGATGAGATGTTAATAATGCGGTTATTCCTGTTGTGGGTTATCCCTAAACCCTCTCCCCGCTCTCATTTCCCCTCCTCCTTCTGTCTCTCACAGTACCTGCATCCTCCTCTCCACATCTTGTCCACTTCCTCTTTTCTCCCTCTCCATGACTGCCTTTCTGCATAAATATTCCTGCTCTTGGACAACATCCCCACATTTAAATCAGTCCCTTCTTCTGCCACTATCAAGGGTCTGCTCCTTGATGCTGGCCTGGGACCCTCAGTCCTTAGCCCTTCACAGTGTCACACGCAAGGTCTGCTGCAGGCCCTTCCTGACTCACGACGACTCCAGTCGCCAACCCCTCCCGTCTGAGTTCCCTACACGCCCGTCCCGCTCCTGGGCGGTTCCTGGGCCTTTGCGGCAGGGTCTCTTGTCAGGACCACGCCTCCGGGACTCGGCCTCCGGCTGGAGCCTCACGCAGAGTCACCCGACCCCAAGCGCCCCCTGCTCTGCTGTCCTTCAACCTTTCCTTCCTCGATCCACCACGTGTGCTCGGGACTTGCGCTTCCACCTCTTTCTCCTTTTCCTCTCGGCGGATGGAGCTGGTGTTTCTCAGGCTGCACTCACCTATTCCCACGCTTATTTGGTCATTCGGCCTCTGCACCCTCTCTTCTTCCTCACTTTTTTGATGAAGTTTCTCTTGGATTGCTGAAGACAAGGGGAGAAGAGAAGGCACTTAGACTCTCCATCAGTGACCAGGGACAACGTCTCAAATGACACGGTTAACACTCTCCGGCCCTGGGTCAGTCAGAGCTCAGGGGGTCCTGTCCTCGCTGCAAGTTTCTCCCATCGCCCCGGGATGGAGAAGGGACCTCTCGACAAGGGGCCTTTATGCTCCCCACACAGAGGAGCCGCTCCAGCATGAGGAGAGGGAAACGTCATGAGCCTGCTGCCTAGAACATTTTTTCAGATAGCCAAGAAAAGCATATATCAAAGTAAATAACGGGAGTGAGATGTGTTTCTGAACCGTTCAAACTGTAAGGAAGAAGCAGAGGGATTTCCTCGGAGAAAAGCTAAGGTCCTAGAGGGATGCCCGTGTAGAACAGAGAGCCTGGCAGCACTGACCATCCACTGGGCAGGAAGAGGGTCGGGCTTCCCAAAGAGGGTGTGTTTCCCAAAGAGACAGAGGACACTGGACCGATCCCAGGAACAAAGCAGGACACTCCGAGGTTACAAGTGGGGCCCGTGTATTGCGGCGTGGGTCGTCCCGAGACACCTGGACCACGGGCCGGGGGATGGGGGCGAGGGCACCTGCCTGCAGGTGACCCAGCCTGCGTGGGAGGAGGGAAGTAATCAAGAAAGGGGCTGGGGGCAGGGGGGTCCAGGGAACAGAGGGCCCGCGCTGCTCCAGGGCTGCTTGCAGGGCCCGCAGGGGTGAGAGTGCAGGACTGTGGGAAGCACAGGACAAGGCTCCGAATCCCGACAAAAGCAGGTGGAAGATAGAGGAGCAAAGGGCCCAAATCTCTGTATGCGGGGGCTTCTGCACCCCACATGGAAGTGGGTACAGTGCCGTGCCCTGCAGCCCTTAGCCTTGAGCCACTGACCCACAGCTATTGTGGGTCCCCACAGTCCATGGAGAGGCCCTGAGTCCCTAAGATGCCTGCCGTAACCCTAACTGCCCTTCCCTTCCCACTGTAGCCTGGGGACATCCTGGTTACAAATGTGTAATACTGACTTGACGTTTGTGAAGGTAAATACTGGAAAAATACTGGAAGGTATTTAATTTCCTTTGTTCCTTTTCTGACTTGACTGAGCTGCTATAGAAATTATTTTGTTCTTAATTAGGTACAGTTACTATTGATACACATCAACAAGCCACATGCTTTATACCTGTTTTTTAATTTTTTCCCCTTGCTTATAAACTTGTTAAATATTCCTTTATTTATAAGTTTAGTAGTAAACTTCAAATTGCTTAGCTTTATATGCTAGATTTTCCAAAATTGTCTTCAAATTTATTTATTCCGAATCACTGTTACAGTCTGTTTTTCACTCTCCGATTGGACCAATCTAATTTGTCCCTGTTTTGAAGAAACCCTGTTACACTCTATGCCTGGTCCCTAGCGCCCACCCTCCCCAGAATATGTGACCATTTTTATCTGATGTCTCTATTCCTTGTTGGGAGAACTCCATTAAGAGCAACTGTGTTGGAATAAAAATGTTTGCAGGCAAGTTAAGCACTTTCTTAACCGTGTACCACTAAAATGATAAAGATCATGCCTTCTCAGGAAAGAACTGAGAAGCCAATGTTAATTTTGTACAGCACAGAAAACAGTTCCTGGCAGAGCAGTTGGTTCTGTGATTATCTGAGTAACACTTGTTTTACCTCTTGTGAAGAGAAGGAATTAATAAAACCAACTCTTCTTTCAGGGCAAATTTGACCTTGGTTTGACTTTCTTGTTTGTTACTCTGGAAACCTGCTAGAGGTGGCCTTTCTTCTGTGTTCGGGGCCTGTGTTTAACTGGCCCAGTTAAAACCAAGTTTAGCCCTCATGTAGAGTTAAAAATGACTGAAATTGCATGTGGCCTGGGAGGGACTTTCCATTGGACTATGAACTATCTTGGGCCTTTCTTCAATGTGATGACTGTTATAATTCAGCTTGTCCCTCGTGGGGTCCCCAAAAGTTAGGACTGCAGAGTAGTCACATGAGACACTGACACCCATGGACATGGTGCTGCTAAGCCAGGGCGGATCCTGCATCCACAGCTCAGCTGACACTTGGGTAGCAGTCAACTTGGTGGACTGCTATGTGGATCGTGGTGGGGGCTCTGCAGAAGAAGAGCAACAGATGCTGCCCTGTGGGAATGCTGTACTTCCTGTCATTTGTCCTTCTTGGTAAGTCTGATGCCACTCTGGCTCTAGTTGTCTTGTGAGTCTAGATGCCTAGTCAAGCAGACCTCCAGGTGGGTGTTGTACTACAGCCATTATACCATTAAGCTCCGAGAAGCTTCATGCGATACCTGTGTTCTTAACTGCTGTGACCCCACAGCCCAGCAGCAAGTGGGGCACATGGTAGGAGCTCGATATATACTTGTTTAAAAAAATATTGGCCCTGGACTTCAAAGGTAGATAATAAACTTAATTACCATTTTTGAAGCTTCTATGAATGTGATTTAAACCAGGGTATTCCTGCATGTTGACCTCGCTGAACACCGCTTCCAGAAGTGACAGGTCAAATGTCTTCTCCAGTTCATTGAGAACATTGTACACCACTCTGTGTACAGGCACCAGATTTCTACAAGAATCTTGACAGTCCTTTAAAAAAAATCAAATGAAGAAACTATAAATACAGACTTTCAAGTAATAAAACAGCCCTAGAAAGTGATTTTATGGGTAAGGTATTCTAATTTCCCTATATAAGTATATCTTCACACTTAAAGTTTTAGAATTTCTGTATATTTGTATGGCTCCTAAGTGAAATAAGCAAATCCTTCCTCTTTAAAAAATACCTATTTGTGAAACTGATCTCCTCACCTTCATTTACATTAAATGTAAGAAGGAGTCATTTTGACAAATGAAAGTGGGTTCAAAGTTAAGTAAAGTATAGCCCTATAACAGCCCAGACAAATGTTTTAGGAATAGACTTATTAGTATAAGTGCTGTTCTACTGACTGGACAAGATTCCCCAGGACTGAGTTGGCCTGGATACGCTCAGGGAAGCCAGGTGACAGCTCTCTCCTGTTGTGAATTTGGCCACAGGGAAAGCATATTCATAGGGCAAAGAGAAGACTTGCATCTCTGTTTCTCCAACATTGCCTATTGCTAAAATTAAATTCTAAGACTCTGGAAATTACACACAGGGAAGGGGTGAGGGGAGGGAAGGGAAGGGAAGGGAAGAAGGAAGGAAGGAAGAAAAGAAAACTGAAAACTAACTGTTGGAGAAAGAACAGCAAAGATCTACTCCCAGATTTTTGTCCTAACACAACATTCAATTCCCTGTAGGTTTTAGTGTTCTCAGATCTAAGAACTCGAATTGATGTCCATTGAAATGAAATGTGCCAACTATTATATCATTAAATCAACTCATTTAACTTATTCATCAATTCAATAAAATTAGTTCCATTTCTTAGATTTGCTCTACTGTATGCATCTCTCCAAGGCATCATACACGTGGGGCACTCCTGCTTCAGGTCCAGCCTACCTGCAGCGCTGCCCAGCCCGACTCCATGCATGCTGCGGAGCACCATTCCTTAGAAGCAACCCTGTGTCTGGTGATGCGGCTTTTCCTCTCCCTTTTTACCTACAAGGTAAGCTCCCTGGCAGCCATACTTGAAAATGGCCCCCTCATAGGAGGTTCCTCAGTTGGCTAATTGTGCCCATCTGATATTTGGGTCCAGGATATCAAAGCATAACTTCATTTGGGGCCAGTGTACCAGATTGTGACATAATAAATTTCACTTACATCATACATTTTATTGGTGATGAATTCACGGTCACGGAGGCACTCAAGAAAAGGAAATGTCTTTTTTATTGCATTTGAAATCTCCACTTTATGTCTTTTGAAGTAACTGAATACAGCCTCATAGATCAGCCTGTCATCTGTATTCTGGTCTTCTGCAGACATCCTGGGGAGGAAGGATACTGTGTGATAATGATCGCCAAGGCTCTGGGGTGCTGGTGGAGGCTGTAGGATTTTATCTACGAAGGACAGGTTGTGAAGAAACAACATATGTCAAATAAATGGTCCTTGAGAAGAGGCCAGAATAAATGAAACCGAAGCAATAAGCAATAATATAATGAAGAAAGCGTAAAGGTTAAGAAAGACTTAAACACAAGACTGAGAAAGTATATTCCAGTCTGTCCCAATTTAGCTATTATAAAAATATCTTCACACATCTGGAACTTTTTTTAATTAAAAAATTTTTTTTAATTCATATAAAAATCGAGCAAAACAGAGGAATGAAAAACAATGGCACAGAAATAAAATCTAACCTTGAAAATGTTGCTTAATTAATAACTAAGAGAAAATAAATATCAGAAAGACAAAAAACAAGCTGTCTCCTTTCTAACCTATTGCTGTTAAGAGAAATAACTACTATCTTGAATTACAAAATAGTTCTTTAAGACAAGGTGTGGTTAATAATGACATGATATGGTATAAACTGGTAATTTTACAAGAATATCAACCATTTCTCTGTGACAGCTGGTTCTTCTTTGTGTTAATATAAATCTGTCTGGGCTATTGTTGTAAATAGCAACTGAATTTCAGAAATGCTGCTGTTTCCTGTGAAAGTAATTTTAAACCTGAGTCTGCAATTCTGGTTCTTAGTTGATCATTTTATCGCTCTGATAATAATGTTTTAATCAATGTCTTGTATTTCTAAATGTTATGAAGACTCATAAGCTTTCTTTGTCAAACCAGAAGAGAATTATTGGCACTTCCCAATACCCAATGCACATCAGGGAATAATAATATCACATTATTGCATCAAATTCCTGCAAAAAAAAAAATGTTTCCGGTGAAAGGCTGCAGATTGAAGAGAAGTATTTGTCTTCTCCTTTATTAAAAACCACATTAGAATGTTAATAAAAAAATTGGATTCACAGTGACAGAGGGCGGTGAGCTGATGAGAGATTTCAACCAAAATTTGTAAGACAGAAAGTGAGGAGCGCTAATTGCGGTTGTGGGTGGAGGGTGCTCCGAGGTGAGGAAGTGTGCCCTGCACAGCCAGTGGAGACTGCAAGGGAGACACGGTGCTGAGAATGGCCGTGTTCTTTGAAAAATTAGCAGAACCCCTCAAGGCACAAGCTGACTGCCTGGAGTCAGGCGGTTGTCCCTTCTATCACTGTATGTTAATTGCTCCTGTTACTGGGTTTCCTACACATGGAATAACATGCCAGGCATGTTCTTGCATCTGACTTTCGCTCATCATCCATGTTTTTGGATGAATAGAAATCCTTTCCTTTGTATTATTGGGAATATTCCATTGTGTGGCTCTACCAAAATCTGTTTATTCATTTTCCTGTTGATAGACATTTAGATGGATTCCACTTTGGGACTAATGTGAATAAAGCTGCTGTTCTTGTACAAATCTTTAGGGTGAGATGTTTTCATTTCTCTTTGGTAAATAACTAGGAGTGGAATTGCTGGGTCATGGTGTATGTTTAACCATTTTAGAACCTGTCAAACTGTTTTTCAAAGACTATTAGATGTAGCTTTTCTAATTTTAGCCAATCTAGTGTGTGTGATATGGTATCTCATAGAGTTTTAATTTGTATTTCCTTAATAATATTGAGCACATTTGTATGTGCTTATTGGTAATTCATGTATCTTTTATGAAGTGTCTGCTCAAGTCTTTGGCTCACTTACATTACTGGGTTGTCTTTTACTACTCACGGGTGTATAAGAGTTTGTTACATATCATGGAAAGAAGCGTTTTGTTTGATTTATGTGCTGTGAACATTTTCTCCCAGTCTGTGGTTTGCCTTACATTTCCATAGCTCAGTCTTTTGATAAGAAATTTTGAATTTTGATGAAGCCAAATCTATCATTTTTTTCTTTTGTTGCTTATAACTTTAGTGTACTACCTAAGAAGTTTTTGCCTACCCCAAGTTAATGAAAATATGCAAAAAGCAATTTAAGCATGGGTCTATTTCTGGAATTTCTATTCTGTACTGTTGATCTATTTGTCCTTATGCCAATAGCATATTGGCTTGAATACTATAGCTTATAGAAAGTCTTGAGGTCAATTAGAGAAAGATTGTCTTGGATTGTATAGGTCTTTTGATTTTCCATGTATCTTTTAAAATTAATTTGTCAATTTCTACAAGAAAAGCCTTTTGGATTTTTATAGGGTTTGCACTGAACCTGTAGGTTAAATTTGGTGAGAACTGACATCTTAATGGTATTAAACTTCAATCTGTAGCTCCACTTCTGTAGCTCTCCATTTATTTAATTTTCCTTAACTTTGGGTAGAAGTGTTTAAAGTTTTCAATAAGGAAGTTATAAACATCCTTCATTAAACTTATTCCTAGTTATTTTATTCTTTTTGGTGTTGCTTTAAATGGTATTGCTTTTTAAATTGCCTATTATAGTTGTAGGGAAATTGAATTGGTTCTCAAAATATTAACCATGTAGTCATAACCTTGTTAAATTAATTCTGGTAATGTATTTGTAGGTTCCCTTTGCATTTTATAGAAAATAAACAACCATGTCGCCAACAAGTAAAACACTTTTACTTCTCCCTTTCTAACAATTATTTCTCTTTCTTTCCTATTGCACTGGTTCGGAGTTTAAATGCAATGTTGAGAAGTGGTGAAGCGGACTTCGTGGTCTTGTTTTCAGTCTTAGAGAAAAAGCATTCAGTATCACCATTCAGCATATTTGCTGTACATTTTTGTATGTGTATTTTTAATAAGACTGAGGAACTTCATTTGCTAAACGTTTTATCATGGGCAGATGTTGAATATTATCAAATGAATCTCCTGAGATATTTATGTGATTTTTCCCCCTTTTTATTCTTTAATTTGGTGAATCACATTGATTTCCAGAGCTTTCTTTTTAAAATTTATTTTTAATTAATTTAATTTTTTTTTTTTTAGATCTAAGGCCTCCTCTTAAGTAGGAACAGATAACCACCACAGGTCAGCAGACCTGCACCCTAACCTGCATTTGCTACTGTGTCTGACGTATTATTTTATTTCTTCTCAATTTATGTCGTTCCAAATAAAATATCTGCAGACTTCTGAGGAAATTCTGGAATATCAGAAAGAATAACATTAAAAAAGAGAGAAAAATGCACCCCAACCTGATAGTTACAGAGTCAATTGATCCCAGTTTCTTAAGACAGAAGTGTATCTTTAAAGAACAGCTCATTACAAAATGCTCCACTTTTCACATTGTTTCAAATTTTGATTGGTAAAATGGCTCTGCACATTTATTTCACTAAGAGTACAGAAACATAGGAAAATAGTTCCCCAAAAGGTGCATTTATGAGCCTGTATTTTTCAACATAAAATGCTAAGAGGTGAATAAGGAGACCCAGGGATGTCTTGAGCTGTATATCTTGAGACCCTCCCCCAACACTGAGGCTGGTCTTGGAGTTCAGCATTCTGAGGTTTGGAGTGATCGGCTTTCTTAGGTCCAGAATGATCATCCAAGGTCGGTGGATGCCTATTCAGGTCACCTGGTGTCTCACCTGTGATGGCCAAAAGGATGATTTTTCAGCCACTTCTGCTTAACCTCCTCAATGTCTACAGCAAATCTGTGAACAGATTTGAACTGGGTCAATTTGAAACTGTCTGGCAAATCTGCACTTCTTGGCATATTGTCCACGGTACAGCCCAGAAGTGGAATGGTGGCCCGGTCTCTGACATCCTGGGCAGCACCCCACCTGTACAAGCACAAGAGGGTCTTGTTTGGGAATTACACACCAAGCTTTCTGCCAAAGTTTTGGCTTCTCCATATATTGAAGAAAGCTGCATACCACACTGTTTCCAGATACTTCTGGTGATTGACGCTCCAAAATTCCTTTTCTTTTCTTCTCTGTCTGTAGATCCACTTATTATTTGTTAACAGTCTTCACAAACTTTGCTTGGTTTGCCACCATCACACTCACATTGAGCTTTGTAATAATCAGAACACTTCCAACAAACCACATGTCCACACACTCAAAAATGATGCCTTTTTCTTGTCAGTGCATTGAAAGACTCTTTGCATTTCCTACACATATATCATTACTTCATTTTCTCAGATCCATCTCGGGGCTCTTTTCCCCAGCTCAGCAGTAGAAACCTAAAGTGAATGTCACTATTCTTTGCAATAGTATTTCTGAAGGCTTCTTGCCCCATGGCAAGCATCCACAGTCTCTTGAAGGGCCTCCATCCATTCTTCTTTGTCTTGCTCAGAACTAGCTTGCAGCTCCAGTGTTCTGTCTTTCTCAGATACCTGCAAAGTATGTGGATATTCCTCATTTTGAGTCTCTACAATTTTCATCGCCTCAATACCAACCCTGGTTTGAACTGTGAATTTGGAGCCCGTCAGGCTGAATCTTGGCGCACAGTACAGCAACATGTTATTGAATAAGAAAAGGTAGCGTTCTTGAGCTGGTGTGTTCTGAGCAGCTAGTCTGAGGATCTGTCCTTCTTTTATTAGTTCATTTGAAGAATTTTCAACATCATCTTCTCCTGCCAACATTTCGTAAATCTCTCAGAATTTCTTTAAGTTCTCCATTTTTCTTACTGCACTACTAGAGTGGCTTGCTGCTGTAGATACAATTTCAAGTGTTTTTGTTTTTTTTTAAGCATCATTCCAGTATGGAGAATCAGGGGACAATTTCCTTAGGTAGTCCTGAGGAGCATCTCATACCAGGGAACCGCTGAACAAGCTCTGGCATGTGATGCTGCAAAAAAGTCCAGCTCCCACAGACCTTTTCTACTTCTGAATTTTTTCAACTACTGATTCAAACTGGGGAATACACTCTGTCATGTTTTTAACCAAATGCAGTGATTTATCAAATCCCTTCACATGTTCTCCATACATGGAAGGAATGGAACCCATTTCTGAAGGATGTCTCCAGTTTTAGGGATAGTTCTCCATTCTTGCATTCATTTCTCCATCTCTGTC